GAGCGTGGACAAAACAGACACACGCCGGCCGTGAGACTCAGGCGGCGAGGGGCTGAACTGCCGCTTGGGCAGCGACCTCCGCATTTACGAAGGCGGCTGGTCTTTTGTTGGTGGCTGCATGGGATGCCATTCAGTTTGGGCATAGCCGCCTCACGCGCCAGGTTGTTTTTCGAGTAGGGCTCCAAAGCCTACACTACAGCTTCAACAAATGCCGCGGTTGCTGACTAAAGGCTAACGGCTAAACCCAACACTCTTAGAATCGCCTGTGAGGCTTCCTGGCTGGGCAGGAGGTGATTCCAGAGGACAGGTGTCCTGACCCATCATTGCCATCGCCTGCAAACACGAGTATTCCAGCGCTTTTGTTGTGGGCCCTCCATTTTCTGGATCAGCTACGACGCTACGAGATCCGACCGTTGTACGGTTTCGAAACACGGCCTCAGGGGAAGGTACGCGAGAGGATCAGGCTCGAGTTCCTGCAGGCGACCATAGGTGCTCTTCGTGGGTTTGTAGGGCCCCTTCGTCTTCGAATGCAGGACCAGCACTTCCCTTTCCTCGAAGAAGGCTACTTCGCCACCGTGCAAGAGCCGACGCAGGCACGTAATGACGAAGTTGACGCACAGCATTTGGGTCACGAAATGAGTCGTTTTCTTGTGCCCCACAATATTAATGTTGCGTGCGCCGAAATTTTTCGCGAATGCAATGAGTGAGTGAGTGAGTTAAGCTTGTGAGTGGTTGCAGTTATAGCGGCCGTCACTCACATTATACTTACTGGCACATCCTTTGGTACCTTTTTTATCAGTAGATCTGAAAGGAGCACCATTCATGTCTTTCCCTTGGACCTATAGTCTTATATATATTAAAGGTGCAGGAGCGAAGCGAATAAGACACCAGAAATTGAGAAGAAAATGATGTAATTCAAGATACGATATCAGATAACCCACATATCTCGCAGAACAGTCTGAAGCAGCAAAGTGGTTCACAGGGGTGCTGCTGGCTGCTGCGGCTGAGTCAGGTGTGCATGCGTGCGTGTCAGCAAGCAAAGTGCTGGATGCCACACCCAGTTCCATCCATTTCCTGAGTCCGGGCTATACCCCTTGTCATAGGAACTCGACCCAGAAATGGCTCGGAAGCCCAACGACAAAATAGAACTTCGTGACGGCCAAGCGCAGCCCCCGGAATCCAGACCCCCGTGCGGCAGGCGTACAAGTGCGGCTCCCTCTCTCACTGCCCAGGCCTTTGCTGTGTCTTTGTTCGAGTTCCCTGGGGGGGGTTTAGGGTTTAGGGTTTAGGGTTTAGGGTTTAGGCATGTTTAGGCCCCACCGGCTCAGACATCGGAGGCGGCCTGCCGGGCACGTGCGCTGAGGGCCGGATCGGGGTCCCTTGCGGCCGTTGCCAGGCTGGGAGGGGCTTTTTCTGGGTTCCAAAAAGGATTTCGTTGATGTCAATGTTGATGGGGCTTTGGGCTCTGTAACTAGTAGCTTTGGGTTTGGGGGAATTTCTGGAGAGTAGAGTGCATCATTTTGCAGGTCAAGTCTTCGTTATTAATGCCAGTTGGTGTTTAAATCAATTTCAAGTCGTGTCGGTTCGCATTGTAGCAAATCTCGCTCTCTCTCCTTCCTTTCACTTTCGCAAACGTTTAGTTGGCACGCCAATTTGGTTTTTGCGAACTCCAGTATTTTAGTTCAATGCTTTAAAGTACCTTTGGCTGAGCTGGCTGGATGGGCTTGCCTGCGAAGCCTCGTGCTGGGGTGTAGCCCATGAAGGTCGGCACGAAGTTTATCAATGGCGCATGCAGAGAGTGCAGCAGCATGGCTGCTCGGCCGTGGTTTGAAACGTCGGGAAGCCTCTAGATTACAGGGTGTTGGTAGTGCCTTGCAGGCTTTGGGGGGGTTGTTTGGGGTTTGAATTTTGGGGGTTGTCTTCATAGGTCCTAATCAAGGTAATTCCTTCAAAAAGCATGCCGCTCCGTCCCCAGCCTTGAATCTCCGAAATACCCAAGCTGCGAGTCTTAGGACAACCTTCTCTTCTTTGCGGGCGGCGTGGCTATGGCCTGTGCCATCCCGGTTTTCTACTACTTCATGAACTCGCCCGTGACCACCAAGGCTGGATTCAGGAAGCCTCTTTTCCTCTTGTAGCCAAAGTGAAGCTTCAAAATGCCCCGCGAGGCGTCCACCATGCTGAGCACGACCATGGCCTTCGGCATGACCCTGCCGCTCACCCGGCAAGATGACGGTCTGCCTCTCCACGTTTCATCCCGGGACTTGAAGCAAATCGAAACGCCATCGAAAACAGCTGGAAAGCCCCCCCCCCCCCTCAAAAAGAGAAACCCACCCCAAAGAGGATCGATGTCTACCTGCGAAACCAACTTCTTCAGAGTGTGAGGGTTTCGGGTTTAGGGTTGGGGTTTTAGGGTTTAGGGTTTTAGGGGCCCGGCAGTGTTCGAAGAGGCCTGGATGCAAAAGGGTTTAGGGTTTAGGGCTTTATAGGGTTTAGGGTTTAGGGTTTAGGGTTTAGGGTTTAGGGTTTAGGGTTTAGGGTTTAGGGGTGAACTCTTTTCAGGACCTTGCTGCAGACGATCGGCCTCGTGGGCTTGGTCTCGCTGCGCTTTGGCCCGGAAAGCAAGGGGCGGTGAATTTGGTTCAGGGTTCAGGGTTTAGAGCTTTAGAGGTTTAGGGTTTAGGGTTTAGAGCTTTAGAGGTTTAGGGTTTAGGGTTTAGAGGTTCGAGGTTTAGAGGTTTCGAGGTTTAGAGGTTTAGAGGTTTAGGGTTCAGAACGGTTCAGGGTGCAGCTTACAGTGCTCTGGCCTCCACCCACGAGCACCCACATGGAACACGAAGTTCCGCTAGCATGCGCTTTGCCTCGGAGTGCTCAGGAGCTGGCCCTCACACATGCAGCCGCTTCTCGACTTCGTGTCGATCTTCATGCTGGCCTCGGGCTGAGGGGGTCTCATTGGTGGGTACCCGGTTGCTTTTTGATCACGCCCGAAACTTTACCCTAACCCGCATGATATTGCAGGGCAAATATCGAAACATTTACAAAGGAAACACGTTCATTGCATCTCATGTTTGGATGAAGTACTTAGTAGTAGGGGCAGCCAAGCCGAAAGTAGCTCATGTAAATCCCCCTTTGAATACGCAACGCAAGACTGTTGAATCCACAAGTGCTCGGCGAGGGTGTAACGCCCGGAGTGACACTGTTGCCAGTGGAGGGGGTTGCTATAACGAAGCCAATGCGAAGCCATTTTTCAAGGCCGAGCACATGTGCATCAGCCTTGGTTGGAGGCCCCTATGGGAATGTGAACGGAAATGCAGTACTTGCAGGCCGTGAAACGAGAACGCGAAGAACAAAACACGAACATCGACAAACAGCTCCTCTCTTTAAATCCTCACGTGTTTAGGGTGCTACAGCAAGTGACTCCTGCATCATTCCTGTTGCGTGACGGTCCCATCTTTCAAGGGCAGTACTGTGAAGAAAGCCAATGCACATCAATGCACCGAAACTTTTCATGTTCGCCCAAGTCAGAGGAAGCCAGCTGCCCAAAGCCCAAGGACCTCGAGTCCCTGAACTTCGACTGCCTGGGCGTGTCCTCGGCCATGCGCTACGTGACCAGCGGCTCGGCATGTCTCTGAGAGCTTCAAAAAGCGCCCCGAAGCCTGTGGAAAAAGCAATAGCATGAAGCGATGACAAGCCCTCGGTTTCCACACGTTGACCGAGCTGAGCAGCGGGCCGTCGTGGCGGGCCTCTCCGCTGGGTAGAAGAAGAGGAAGAAAGGGAGAGCTTTACTGAGCGCTCTCTCGGGGGGGAAGATGCGCTAGAAAGTGCAAGCAGAGGTGTGGTGTGCTGGCCTGTGGCCCTGGCATGGCTGGTCGTCTGCGGCCTCGTGTCCAAGCCACGCGGCAGAGTTGGGGTTCAGGATGCAGAGCCGCTGTTTCGGGGTCTCTCGAAGTGTTCCCGGGGTGTGCTTGGCCATTTGCCGTCGCGCGTCCTCAAACGTTAGAGCTGGGCACATGGCCGAGGCTTGGGCCACAGAAGCTGCACTTTGTGAAGGCGAAGGCCCTCAGCACCCTGGGCCAGCTCTTCCAGCGGCTTGGTCGGACGAGGCCCGGCGCCACTTAACTCCCCTAAAACCCTGTCCTTCCGCAAGGATCGGCTTCACAATCATCGCGAAGACTGCGCTGATGCCGTGCCTGGGACTACGTAGACTGGGCACAATCTCATCAGAGGTGATGGTGGAGTCACAGCCAAGGTTCATGTGCTACTCCCACCCCAATGGGCCACTCCAGCTGAACAGCTTTTCGTGGCCTTGGCAGGTGTGGTGCAGGGTTCTGGAAGCGGAGCGTTCCTGGGATTCAGGAAGTTCAAGGCTGCAAGGTCCTAAGCTTCTCACAGAAGCTGAACTGGGGGCTGTCAGTTTTGTGTAGGGCGTGGGGGCCAAGTAGTTGTGGGCCCGGCGACGAGAAACCCTAGTGCTCCTTAAAGTCGCACCGAAAGACCCGGCCTCAGGTCATCGCACCCCGCTTCCAGAATCTTTGACCCCAAAGCAGCCGCTGACAAAGCTCTGCTGGACTCAGGAAATCCAGCGTCCTCCGGTTCAGTGACGTGATCTGCTGGGAGGAACCTTGAGAACAACGGGGTGGTTGGCTTTTTGGGTGTCTGGCAGTGTTGAGGCTTGCTAGCCTTGTACAGCTTTGGTCAAGTGTGGCTCTAGGAGGAGACGGGGCATACGACCATGGTCATCTTTGGCGTGGTGATGACTGGGCACCTGGGACTTTCACCGAAGAAGATGCTGTGGGTGTGAGAGGTCAGAGTTGGGCTCGATTTTGGCGTTGCATGGGGCCCAAACTCAAGCCCCTGAACGCCCAGGATCATGCTCATCTACTGGGTGACCCTGCTGTGGTCTACCATCCAAGCACCGAGGAGGCGAGGTCCTGGAGCTTGGCGGGTTTTAGGGCTTGAGAAATTCGACCAGGCTCACTCAAACACCACACCCGCAAGGAATCAAGAGCTGTTTTACTGGTTGTTTCACCTTTTTTCTTTTTTTGGGGGGGGGAATTCGCAAGTAGGATTGTTATTGTTGAGGGTTTGGCATTGCCCAAGTTGTGGGTTCGGTGCGTTCGCGACTCTGAATTGCTAACCGTGCTACCCTGGGTTTGGTCTTCCAGTCGAATGGCAGCAACACCGAAAGTAAGCGACACAGCTGACAAGGTCCGCAAATGCAGACCTCTTCTTCTTGCAGGCGACGCGCTTCTTGTTCTTCCGCTTCAGGACGGAGGGCCAAAGCGGCCAAGGTCAGGGCAAACATGGATAAAGTGCCCGCCCCCCCCCCCCCCCCCCGCCTCCCCCACTCCTTTTCCCCGACTCTGCTTTGAAGACCAGCTCATCTGCCCACGTGCGGCTTGGAAGTCTTGTGGAGGGTTCAAAGAGTCAACGAGTGACTTCGAGAGGTTCCGGGCAGACGGATCCTGTGCATGTATGCAGGACCGACTACTGGTGGTACGGAACCTGGTTCATCCTCCGAGGCTGCCTGAACGTGAAAACCCCATCACTGCTGTGGGTGTCCGTGCTACCCGAGCTTGTGATCTCGGATAGGAATTCTTGAGCAGAGGGTATTGTGAGAAAAGCTTTGTGTTGAACGAGTTCAAGAGCGGAACGGCGTCCAATTCCGGGAGCGGCACTAGAAACGGCAATTACTCGGCGGACCCAGATGGCGCTCTTGGCTAACTGCACAGTTCGCAGTTTGCGGAGGTCCTCTCCTCTCCTTGCCGGTGGTGATCTTCACGGACTTGCCTCAGGCAGATGGGTCCATCTCCCCACCCCAACCTAGCCCCACATCTTCTGTGACGTGAGGTTCAGCTGTTCGTCATGACGGCGGTGCTGGTCACTCACCCGAGTGGGAGGGGTCGGTCTGGGCTCGGGCTCAGGGAGTCTTGCAGGGTGTCATTTGGATAGGGCTCTTTCGGCTCCTAAGAAAGCTGCTTCGCCAGCTAGCCCGCACTCGCCCCAGGAAACCTACATGGTAGTGCAGCTCATGACATGGCCGTGGAAGACGCCCCTCATCAACCTGGCGGATGGCGCCATGAGCATGATGCAGGGGGCTCGAGGGGGGGCCAACAACACTCCACAGAGGGCCTGCAGGTGGGAATATGTAAGTCCGAATTATCCGGTAGAGACTCGTCAAGAACCCAGGATGATCTTGCTGCTCTCGATCGGGTCCGCCTTCCTGGACGCCCGGGGCATTGTTTTTTTGCAAGAAGGGGGAGGGGGGGTGGGGGGGTGGGTGTGTGTGGTTCAGGGAGACCTGAGCATCTCTGCCATTTTTCTTTCAGCCGAGGATGCCCTGGAGGGTCAGGTGAAGGCCACCTACTCGTCTCTGGCAATGGGAGCCGCCCGCCAACGCTTGGGATTGTCAGGGTTTCCTTTTTCCTGCGTTTGAAGGCAACGATTCCAGGGCCCCCAAGCGGTGTAGATGTGCCGGTTCGCGCTTCAAGGAGGCATCTTGGGGTCACAGTCTCCAGGGACGTCGGAGGCCCGAAAACCTCAGCACAGCGCCTGACCTGCCAGGTGCAACTCCTTCTAGCGCCGTTCCGTTGTATCAAATGTCCCCAGCACGTGAAAGTCAACTTACAGAGTCCAACCCTCCCGCCCCCAACAGAGAGGGCGACCCCCCCGAAGGTCTCAAAACTTCCCAAGGGAGGCGGCCACAAAAAGGCCTCCGAGCCACGAAAGAACCATGCGGAAGCCTTGGACAGCGACGCTTATGAGGTCCTTGGCATTCTCTACAGCATCGCCTTTGTCTTGCTGCGTGCTGGCTGGGTTTTCGTTGGGTCAGGGTCAGCCTCAGCGCCTGCCTTGGAGCAGCCTACGCCCTAGAACGCTGACATGTGGGCATATCGGCTAAATCCCCATTTCTATACCCCCTTTAATGCCATTCTTCCTTCTGAGAAAGAAGCCACCGAAGAAAAGGGCCGACTCCCGCCTCCGGAAGCCCTTTCGAGCCCAGGAGCCTGGTGGTTGTAGCCATGGTCCACACCACCGCCATGGGCTCTGCTAACGAGCTCCCGATTCTGCTGCCTGGACGGTTACTTCGAGGGCTTGGGGGTCTAAGGGTCCAGCGCTTCTAGGGGGTGTAGCGGGTCTAGGAACGGTGCCCACAGAATGCAGTTCGGATCATGTGGCTTGTGGTCCCTTTACAGGGAAGAATGGGCAGACAAACCTTTTGGTGACCGCATGGAGCAATCGGGCTTTTTGAAGGGACCATAAAAACGGAACTACGCAGTGTCAGGGGTTCAAAGTGAAGGGAGGCGCCCTGAAGGCCCCTGTCGAAGAGGCTCACGAATCGTGGGAACCCTGCGATCATCTGGACGATCCGAAACTTGCCAAGGACGCTTGGACGTCCTCCAAGCAACTCCATGCTGCGAGAGGCAGCGCTCGCGTTCGTGTTCTGCGTTTGAGATGATGAGCGTGAGACATGGCAAAATCTCTTGTCTAAAGCTTCTGACGCTCCGCTCCAACTGCGCACTGTCGGCTGCAGAGCAGGTCATGATGTACTACTATTGCTACTACTAGAGTTGCTAGTTTTATTACGATGAGGAGGATTTCTGTAGCTTTCATGATTACACTGCTGATCAGAAGGCCCGAGCACCTTGAACCCAATATGAGAAACAGCAAAGAAGACGGGGGGCTTCAAGTTTTGCCAAGGAGAGACCCTGAACAGTGCACCCTGCACCCTCTGAGGTGAAGTAAGCAACGAGCTTTAACCAGTAGGAATTGTACCAGCACAAAACTGAAACCTTAAACCCTAAACCCCAAACCCCAGACCCAAAACATAGCACCCTAAACCCTAAAGTGCGGGTGGGCAAGTAACAAAGCCCAACACCCTGTGCGCCAATCATAGCCACAGCCCTGGCAAAGGCACTGGATGCCTTGCATACGACCTACGAGGCCCTCTGGTGACTGGAAGCCTCAAAGACAAGCGACCCCAAAAACCACACCCTCAAGTCCAGGAAAACGCCGTAGACCGGCAACCTAAGCGGAGTTGCCTTGCAGTACATACCCGAAACCCTAAGCCTAAATGGAACCTCAATGGAACCTGGGGCGGTGTTGCTCGGAGGGAGCTCGGGGTGTGCGCCGAAGCCTCGTCAGGGAAGGCCCCCGCCCAAAAAGAACAAAGCAAGCCAGAACTCTGAATTTAGGGGCAGGGGTTGCTGGTCGTGGGCCTTACTCCGACAGGAGTCTGACAGTGACATTATCGCGAAGGCCATCGAGGACAGCTGCAGTAGAGACTGGGGTGCGAGGAGGCTCCGGTGTGCAGCCGTTCGGTGCGACAAAGCCTCGTAGCTTCTTTTCAAGCTGACGCTGCTCCCTGAATGCCTGTACAATAGCATACACAAGTATCACAGCTGCAGCATTGCAGGAGCTCAACGTCTACGACAGGCGCGCATCGACTTGTCCTGTGGCCGTTCGGACCTATGCAACCCCAAGCGCGACAGATCCCTGGAAATCCTCAAGCCCAAAGATCCGTACCAAGCAGCCAAAGCTAAACAAAGCCTTCGTTCTACCCCGAAGCCCTAAGATTCCGCTCTTAGAACTCCTGAGCTTCAGCTGCAAGAGCCTTCGAAGGTCCGAAAAAGCACCGGTTCGCCAGATTTGCAGGCGGATGCTCGCGGCGGTCCTGACCACGCTGGGGCCGTACTTCTCGCCACTCGGACCAGGCGTAAACCCTAACCCCGAAACCCTAAATACCGTGCTGGTAAGTGTATGTCCAGCAGGTCAGCGAGGCAGGTGGCCAAAAGAAGCCACGTGCTGGGAGCCGAGGAATGACAAGCGCTTTCGACTCATGAATCGCCTAAGCGCCACTGAGCTGCAACATTCACCAGCTTGGGGAGGGTTGGGAGGGTTGGTGCCTTATATGTAGTAGCCAGAGAACAGAAGCCCGAATCGGCCTTATATGTGCCTATATAAACCCGTTGAGGGATTGTTTAACGGTACTTGATTCCCTCATTCCTACTGAGAGTTTATGGTTTACGTAGAGTGTGAAGCTTTCCGACATGTTGCTTGAGCTCTTTTAAGCTTTGGACTCGACCCCTGAACCTGAAACTTCCAGGATTGCGATGTCGAAAGTCGAAGACGCGTTGCCACGTTGCTTTCGCAAGGGAGGAGAGTTTACCTTAAAACCTTGTCTTCCCCTCTCGCAAAAGGCTTTCAAAGGTGCTTCCAGCAGAGCTGGGGTTGATCACCAAGAAAAAACCCAGGCCTGTGAAAAATAGGGTTTGTGCCACCAAACGTTCCGCTAGTGCGCTGTTACGCTTGCAAGATGGCCGACTAAAAACTTGAGGCATCGTGAATGTCGACCCCCCTTGCGATCCCGGTGCGCGATAAAGACATTGTCATCGCTGGCGCCAAGCCCCCGGACGGAAAAACCTCGAGGGCTCAAAAACGACGACAGTTTGGACGAGGGAACCATGACAGCAGGGGAAACGACGGCAGTCCCCAACAGCCAATCCCCATGGCTGTTGGCACCTTCACGGAAGCGGATTTCGGGGTCCAAGAGCGACAGTCGCGTGGATAGTGACAACACTGTGACAACTGTTGCGCTTCTGCCATGCTGCCCAGCGGATGGCCACGAACGGCTCACCGGCGAAACCACGAGGGAGAGGGTTTAGGGGCACGTCAAACGGAGTGTCCAATGCCAAAGCTTGGCCTCGAGGTCAGCACGACATCTTTGGCATCGACTGCACGCAGTCCAAAAGAGTCCAAGGCTTGGCAAGGACTTGTCTTTGAGCATTGCTGTGCGTCGGCCCTGAAGGTAGACTTGAGTCTGGAGAGCGAGGAAAACGCGGAGAAGGATGAGAAGGACTGTTTTCGCATGTTCTTGTGGGTTGGCGTGCCAGGCGCGTGGAAGGCGAAGCCCTTGAAGCCCGAGCAAAACGTTCAGTTGAACCTCCTGCCATTGTAGGCCGAGAAGGAGGCGGAGAATACTGCGAGCACAGGAGGTGAAGAGAACGAAGCACATCTTGCGGAGCCTTGGCGGAGTTCATGCGGGGCCCTTTTCTGCATCTATTCTTTTTGCCAACCCGTTGAGCTCAGACCATGCCCCCAATCAGTCACTCTACTTTGATATCACATCCTGGTCGGATCTGAGGAGAATTTGCGCAACAACTTGCCCAACCACCGTTTCAGCCACACCTTCCGTGAGAAGCTGCAGTCGGCTGATGTTTAGCACCGGGAGGGGGGAGTGGCGCTCGAGCCTGGAAAATCTCACAGTCTCAACGAGTAGGGTTTGGGGTTTAGGGTTTAGGGTTAGCTTCATGAGCAGCCCGAAGCCTCTCCTGGCTGCTCTTTACGCGAGTTTCCCTTTGCTCTTGACCCGGGATGGAGGGGTCTGACCTCAGCCGCAGGGAAAGCTTGGGCCCCGCGGCCGCCCGTGGCGCTGTTTCGGGCCTCCCTCCAACCCTAAACCCTAAACCCTCAACCCTAAACCCTTCTTTTGGGCGCTTTCAGGTCCAGTTTTTTTTTTTTTTTTTGGGGGGGGGGGGTCGTATCTCGTTGGATCTGGCCGAGCCTTTAGCTGGTGTGCCCTCAGGGCCTCCGGCTTCCAGTGGCCACACGCGCTTTTTTTGTTCGTGCGCGCTGCTCGAGCGGTGCGCGCTTCGTGCTCCCACGGCCATGCCCAGGGTGAGTCGTCCCTCGGGGGCCTCAACTTGAGGCAACAGGGGAGAGTCCGCAATTGCGGCTGGCATGGGGCGAGCCGAAGCCCAGAAGTTTTAACACGTTGAAAGCTGGGGCCCAGCCCTAGAGCATACATGGTGGAAAAACCGTGCATCCTTAAGCACAGGACTGCTCTCCAAATGCAGGAAAAACTCTGTACAAGAATGCTCCGGTGGCTGCGGCCCGGATGCACCCCGCCCCGAGGCCGGTTCGCTCGGACGCTTGCACTTAAAGTGCAGCACCCGAGGTACTCTTGCTAGGTCCGCTTTGCGCCAGCCGAGCCATATCGGTGACCGAGGTGCTTTTTCCAAGCGCCCCTCACAGTCAAGGGAGGCAGAAGGATTTCATAAGGCACCCCAGAAGCCCAGCTTCTGAGGGGTTGAACTCGAGTCTTGATAGGTGCCTCGTTCCCCGATTCCTTCTTCGAAGCCAGCAATTCATCCTCTCAGCCTCGTTTCGGGTGAATCAACAGATTCAACATCGTTGCCGTCATCGTCAGCAAGGACATGGCTCGTGAGTCATGACTAAAACTACAGAAGTTGCCACGAAGTTTGCCGCGATGAGCTCGCCCAACCCTGAACATCCCGGAGCATCCGGAACATCCCTGAACCTTCTGCATCCTTTGCTCTGGCCTAAGTGCCACAGCCTGTTGACGCCCTGGTTTATGCAGGGTTTGCATGGAATCACTCAGGCCCACAGGGTTTCGTTCAGCGCAGGGAACCTATCGGTTGCAGCCCTTGGGCTCCCCAAGAGGGGATTCAACAATTTTGGTTCCAGGAAGGAGGGGGTGACAAGCTTCGAAAGCTACCCTCCCTCCCCCAGTTTCGTGATTCGTGACATGTGCCTCGAGCCGGATTTCCGGAGACCAGACTCCTGCCGCACTCTCAATTCAGGTCTTTCTGCTCTTCTAGGCCACTAAGCCACTAGGTTTCCAATGGGGCGCTTCGCGCTTCATTGGCGCGCTGCAAGCTGGTTGAGGCCCTTTAGGTGAGAAGCCGTCAGGAAAGGTTTGTGAAATCCGCAGCATGATGCCGGAAGGCTTTGCTGTTTCGATATGTCTTGATCCATCCCGCCCAGTACCCCTCGCGCTTCTCCGAGAGCGAGAGAGAGAGAGAGAACAGGGTTTAGGGTTTATTGTCTTGGCGTTTAGGGTTGAGGCAAGAAGGGGTTACAGTAGGGTTTAGGGTTCAGGGTTGGCCTGTTAGGCGTTGCTCGCGGAGAGTTTGGGTGAAGCGCAACCTGGATTGCCGAAGGAAGACAAACCGCTTAAGCTTGAGGCTGTGTCAAGGCAGGCTCCGTGACTACTCAGTGACTACTTCGGATGTTGCAGAGGGGGCGAGGGGTGACGTGGCACTTGCTGGTGCTTCCCGCACTGCAAAAGAACGTGGAGTTCTCCAGGCTTGCTTGATTACTACTGGGGTCGGGATACTTACGAATAGTATTCCCTCATGGCCCCTACATAACTATATAATACACAATCGTAACCCCAAAAGCCCTATTCTAAGTATTAAGGCCCCCATATTGGTTCGCACTTCTGTTCCGCATGTGGGCGTTGCATGGGTGTCTGAGTGCTGACCGACGGACAGACAGACTGACGAACTGAATGAGAGGTGTCGTGCAGCAATGATGGGTCTGGTCGCGCTGGTGCCTTGTGCTCAAGACTTGTTTTCCAGTTTCGTTGTTAGAACTGCTGCGTGGTAAATGAATCCTTATGACCAATGACAATGATGCTGATGCATCATTGGCTGGTGGCGGGCGCAGTCTTTCAGGCTGTTTCTGGTCAAGTCGAAATCAAGGTCCGGGGAGCATGGTTCAGGGTTGTGTGGAGAAGAAGCTCCTTGAAGGTTGCTGGGTTGTTTGGACAACAAGCTCCTTGAAGGTCGCTGGATCCTCCACCGTTTTCCCGGTCGCAAATGCCTGGGCCACCAACATGGTCAATGCCAGCAGCTTTGCGATCACCATCGAAGGCGGCGCGAGATCCACTTTGAAGGGTTGCCTTCAGGTTCGCTGCAGGTTACAGGCTGAATTGAGTGCAACCTTAGCCCGCACCCCAGGACTTGATTCGGCTCATTCGGCTCCTTTTGCCATCCAGTCCCCAACCAAAGTGCTTGCGCACACTGCAGTAGAAGCTTAATTGATGCGCTTGTGGACCCTCTGGAAGCAACGCATGTCACGCATGGGAGAATCTTCTTTTTGCGATGGGCCGAGGTGGTGGTTCTAGTTCCGGCGCACGGCGGGTGTGCCTGGATCGTGCAGATCCTGATCATGCAGCTTGGCGATGTGAGGGCACGTTTTTGTTTTGCTCATGCTTGTATTTGCATGCCTTGGGGTTCACTGCAGAAGCCCGTAGCCGAGTCGGGCAGTTCACGCCGGAATGCCAGCAAAGCACTACAAAGCCCCGGCACCTCCAACAAAAATCAATGATCAGGTCGACATTGGCGACATGTCGCGAAACTGGAAGGAGAGCGAAGCTCTCTTGTTGGACGATGGATACACGTGGACTTGGCGGTTATTTGCTCACGACTCCTGACAGTTGAACCGACGTGACTCACAAAAAGCCGCAGCAAGCAACACAACTTCAACGTAAGAGTGAGAGCTCATTGGGAGGCATTGCCATATAATTGCCATCCAACGAACCCCCCCCCACAAGAGAACTGCGCCTGGCTTCGGAGCAGCGGAAAAGTAACATAAGAATGCCGCAGACTGCCTGCGAATAATGTTGACTCCTGCTTGGTACGGCCCCCTGAATTGTCAGAGAAAGGTCCCCCGGAGTTGCGACACAAAATGCGGGCGGTGCGAAATTTCGGCGATGCTTTTGAATAAAGTTGTTGTCCAGAACTCACTTCTGAATTGAGCCTGAGCACAGGTCTAAAGCCAGAGTCTTAGACCAAATCTGGTTGCGTTTGGATCCAGAAGCAAGTGGCTGAGGCTTCCTAGCCATTGAGGCTGTGACCCTGAAATCTTAAGTCCCCGAAGCTTCCCGCTAAGGATCCCTTGCAAGTTCACATAAACTCATCCCGATTGAAATCGTATGGATCCTTTTAAGGTTCACAATGATATATTGAAATCACATGGATCCCTTTTAAATTCATGGAAACTCATCCCTTGAAAACCAAAAGGATGCCTTTAGTTGATAAACCCCTCCCTATCAAAATCATATAAAGCCAGACCCCCTAAAGGCGGAGATGATTTTCCTTTTCTTGTTTTGGGCGGGGGTACGCACCAATCAGCATCCAACATGAGACCCTTTCGGACATCCTCAGGTGGGAATGCCGTGGTTCCATGGCCCGCGTGACGCAGATCCAAGTCGGCACGGACGGCTTGGCTGTTGTGGTGGCGAAGAGTCCTGGTCCTGGCAGATGGGGGGACTTTGAGGTGCCAACGTGTTTGACATATGGGCCTTAAACTTGGCGTTTTTTCGATCGTACCGTCTCCATGTATCATCTCAACGTATTCTCCGCAGAGCAAGTTGGGCGCGCTCAGACGCGCTCTCCGTGCCTCCTTCTAGTTACCACGCAAAGTGTCGCAAGCAGCCACAAATGTGCTTATGAACAGGAGCTTTGCACCCCAGACGCCGGATGTCAGTGAACCCAGAACGGTGAAGTAAGAAGGCAAACGGAAGGGAATGCCAAGAAGGCTAGAATGAGATTCTTCAACTGGGCCCAAGCTCTGACAGCAAGGAATGGCAGAGCCCACGACTGCCTGACGTCCCCGGAAGTGGGCGGTCTTACCCTGGCCATGCTGCACTGGATGTTTACGAGCTGGCCCCTGGGCCTCAGGGTGAGGTTTCGGGGATTCTGTTGGCGAAGCCCTGTCTGCTTCTGCTTCTGCTCCCTAAAACTTGCTTCCTGTCTTTCTTAGTGTTTCCATGTGTTTCCTCCTTCTTGGGGACGACCTTGGACCGCCTTGGGAGGAGCAACGCGCAGCTCCAGGACTTCGGCCTGGACCTTGCCTCGGTGATCCCCGACGATGACGGCGACGGCGTCAAGGACGCCCACGTGGGGGGGTTTTGTTGTTTGGTTGTTTTTCTTTTTTCCTTCCCTTTTTGGACCGCTGTCCTGGGCGGAGGATTCGGGGTTATTTTCAACATCGCAGAAGCATTTCTGCTTCGCATTCCGGGCCGGAGGAGTGGAGCGACTTGAACCGGAATTGTCCGGAGGCCCGGGAGCTCGGAGCGGCTGGGGATTCTGAGCTGCTTTGAGGGTGTTCGTGGTTCCCGGACGTGCTTGGTATTTGCAAAGGCGCTTGCACCGTCGGCTTACCGAAATCTTTGTTAGAGGGCTTCTTTTTTTGGCACATTTCAGGTGCCCATCAACACTTACGGTCCTGGATCCGACTCGGGCACCTACGACTTCTTCGGCGAGGCCACGTTGTGCAAGAGCTGCTTCAGCGGGACACTCGCCAGAAGCCTCTGATGTGGGCTTAGTGGTTCCACTCCACTTCTCATATAAGCATCCCTACATATCCCCAAACTGCGACATCCTTGAGCGCACAACCCTTGATCACGGATGGGACTTGCTAGTATAGCAGCCGTAGTTGATGTCAATTTGCTGCTTGTAGCTGAAGCTCCGGATGGTACCGGCCCTGCTGCTTGGAGTTGCTGCTGTCCTTCCGAGCCGCTTGCAGGCTTCTGTCGTATTCCTGGGCCATGTCGTCACACGTCTCACATCTCACGGGCCCATGACCAATGTCTTGTACTCCGCATCCTAGTCCTATGTGCCACCCTCCATAGTAGGAGTTGGCTTGTTGGTCTTGCGCCGGCCTCAGAAGCAAGGGTCCTCGAGCGATTGCATGCTTGTTACTCCAGATCTCGAGGTTGGGCTCTAGGAGCCATATTCCCTGAAATCCGTACCTTGTACCACACCGTGCCAATCGGGACTTGTGTCATCTAGCAAGCATCCCTAACCCCAAAGATCCTGAAGACCCTATTCGACACAGAGCCTTTGGGACTTCAGGACAGAAGGCTACGAAGCCGAAGGCTTCCCTTATTGCCCGTCGGACAAGCACAATGCCCTGGAACAACTCACGGCAGATGGGGACATTGCCGCCTACATCCAGAGCCAGAGGCCCGTGGTCTTGGGGTTCCATGCGAGTTTAGGTGCACCAAAACAATTCGGTGCTCAAGTCCCGACCCCCAACTTATGGGAGGCCCGTGAACTGCTACATGCACTCGGAATCCGACTATCAGCTCTACCAGTGGCTCTCAGCGGACTCTGGGTAACAACGAAGTTCTTGTTTGTGACGGGGTACAGGCTCAGAGCCAAAGGGTTTCGTTCGGTGCCCAATGCGCGGAGCAATCCTAAGCTTGCGTGTCTTGACCTCTAGGATACGGGTGGCATCGCCTACTTCGGCTACGCGTATTACGCTACATTCGCAGGTCAGCTGACTGTGGCACGGATCGCCAGTGATGCCTACAAGGGGGTCAAGGAAAGGGGGGTTGGGGCCTGCGTGGGTGAGAGGTCGCTGCCGTGTTGAAGGGTGTCTGCTGAGCGCTTGCGTCTCGAGGACACGGCCGACGCGAAGGTCGAGCCTTCCACCTACACGATTACGGACGGCTCCTACAGCGTCTACAAGCGCGAGTTATTCATGAATGTGGACAACGAGGTCGGAACAGCATGAAACACACATCTCTAAATGACCGTGGTGGTCCTTTCGGGATCCATTCTGCGTCGGGCAGCAGCCAGGCCTGGGACAGGGTGCACCCGTACCTCAGCTATGGCTTCAGCCCGGCGGGGCAGTCTCTGGTTGCGTCCGTGGGCTACGTCAGGGTGAATGCGGCCTTGCTGGCCAAGATGAAGATCAGGACCCTTGGGTTTTTCAGGTAGAGCACGGTGAAATCAGACTCGGATGGCAGAAATAGGAAGCCCGCCGATGCCCACCAAGGATCGAAGAGAGGGGAAACGAGGAGGCGGACTACGTGTCCGTCGCCCCATCCAACTGCGCCATTGGAACCGAGTTGAGCTCTGTCCCGTATGTCAACCAGCTTCCCGGCACGCACGTAATGGCACCAGGCCACATGGACCCAAACAACGTCAGCTCATGTCTAGTGCGTGTTCTCGGAACAGAAACGCAAATACATCAGAGACATCCGCTGCCAAGGTTTGGGAACAACAAGATCAACTACACCTGCGCCCGATGCCAGCCGGGGACCTTCAAGTTCCTCGACACTCCCACGGCTTGCACGCGCTGCGAAGCCGGGCGCTTCTCGGACCAGGACGGCAGGGTCGGGGGAGACGGGGAAGAGGAAAAAGGCAACCCCCCCACCAAATTCGCAGAGGTGGGCCAGAGCACCTGCGGGCTCTGCGACGTGGGCTACGAGGCCGTGAACGGCACGTCCTGCCGGGCCTGCGAGCCCGGGCTACCCGGTTTGAAGGGCTTGGGCGCAGAGACTCGCTTTCGACTTCCCCCCCCTCTCCCCCACTGACAACTCTCTCCCCTCAAAAAGCTCCCAGCCTTTACCAGGTTCTACAAGAGTGAGGCGGCTGCGGCCGCCTGCTCTCCCTGCGCCGCCGGCAGGTTCAACAACCAGTCCGCGCAGGCCGAACAAAAGTCGCCGAGTTTCATCCGCTCGCGGTGGGCATCCCCCGATTCGTAGCCTCCCTCGATCAGAATTAAGCGCCTGCCTGAGCCCCGCGCACTTCATGAATTATGAGGCTTACACGTTTGACTCTGACCCCTTAAGCCCTTGAAGTCTGAAGGGGATGAATCCTCTTGTCTTGTGTCTGGATGATGCCATGGATCCCTGCAGGCAAAGCCTGATCTGTAGGGTTCGCGAAACCACAGTCTTCAGTGCACAGTCAGGTGCCCAAAATGCAGGACCCTAAGCCCAACAGTCAGGCTGACTGCGGCTACTGCAGCCCCGGCTTCTTCGCTCCGGAGGGCTCCACGCGGTGCCTTGGCCCGTGGCCGATCTTTTTGGCCGGACTTTGCGGGTCCCGACTGTAGCAAAAGCTCCATCACAGTAGACTTAGTAGACTTACAGTTTCCTGAATCTGCTAAATCTGAGGAAGAAACCGCCCGTAACGCCCAGGTGCACGGCTTGCCCGCTGAACGAGATCGCCGCGGTACCGGGCTCCGCAACCTGCAGCTGCTGAGACAGATACAAGTTCTTAAGATTTCTTAAGTAGGGTGGCTCCTTGCAGCTCTCGACACATCCCCAAACGTTCCTACACCGTCGGATGCAGAGCCCAGGCTACTGCGGCGAGGGCTTCACCACCACGCAGGCTGATCGTGGGCTTGAGCATCTTCGAGATATTTTTCAGACCCAGGGCTCAAGGCTGCTCTCAATGCCCGTTAAGACCAGCCTCTCCCCGGAAGAGCTCGGGGTAACCCGACATAACCAGGTGGGCTCCACCTCCTGCCGCCGCTGCCGGGCTGGGTCCTACCGCTCCACCGAGCCACAGCGCCCTGAAAAGAGTAAGGGAAAGTCATGAGCGACGGACTCTTCAGCCGCATTGCCTTACCAGGTTGAGTTGTGCAGGTTCGACCCTAGCTGGGTCTATACTGACAGGCGGAGGCCTTCACGCGGATTCACACGGGCTTTATATGGTGGTTATGTGGAACGCTGCGCGTCGCCCGCCTCACGGCCGACCTCTCGCGTATTGGTCTGTACAGGGGGGGGGGGCTCCTGGGCAGGGGACGTGAAGCGGAAGCGGGGGGGGGTCCCGCACAAAACCTTTTTGATGTCCACAGTTTTTTGGGGGCCGACTGGGCTCAGCCAGCATCTCTGCCGACGCGCACCCTGAACCATCCTAATCCGAGGCCACAGTCAAGCACTTAGGAACCTCCCATTCTACTAGGGCTCCCATGGCATCCCTCATAGGCCTTAAGGTTGCAAGGTTTTGTCCACCGAGAAAAGAGAGCCTGGCCCATTGGTTCCATGCTTCCATGCCGGCTCCCTTCACCAGCCCTCCGCAGCCCTCCTGAAGCCACCATTCGGCACGCTTTGCACGAGAAAGGTGCGTTCAGTGCCCGGAGCCGAAGACCACCGCCTTCCAGGTCGCCTAACTCTGATGCTTCTTGAGGGTTTGGGGGGCAGTGGGGAGGCTTTCTATTCTTACAGTTTCAACCTGACAAGGCCTTGCAGGTTTTCGCAGCGAGCTTGAGTCAGCTCATTGCGTTCCTTAACTCCTTGCAAGCCCCCGAAAGACCTAAGCCCCCAAACAGTTACATATATACATATATATATATATATATGTATCTCTCTCTCTCTCTATACGTATGTACAAACACATTATAGTACATCATACATTATATAATTGGTTGTAGACTCTAGTTCAACCAGCCCAAGCCTCTGGCAAGCAAGCCTCTGGCAGGGCGCTGTGCTCCGGGGTGATTGTGTCTGCCCGGCTGGGCAGTACCTGCGAGATGGGCTGACAGGCCTCCTTGCGGGTTGAGGGTTTACTCATCGGGAGCCTCTGCCCCCCCAAACTTGAAACTGGTCCCCCCCCCACCCCCCAGCTGCTGCAAACCAGCAAAACCGCAGCAACGACACCTGAGCTCCAGGCGACAGCGTGGAGGCTATGGCCAGCGGCAGTTGCACGGAATGCGGCTGGTCCCTTTTGCCAGTTTCCCTTCTCGCTCCTTTCACTTCGTCTGTCTCTCTGTCTCTCTGTCTCTCTGTCTCTCTGTCTCTCTGTCTCTCTGTCTCTCTGTCTCTCTGTCTCTCTGTCTCTCTGTCTCTCTGTCTCTCTGTCTCTCTGTCTCTCTGTCTCTCTGTCTCTCTGTCTCTCTGTCTCTCTGTCTCGCTGTCTCTCTGTCTCGCTGTCTCTCTGTCTCTCTGTCTCTCTGTCTCTCTGTCTCTCTGTCTCTCTGTCTCTCTGTCTCTCTGTCTCTCTGTCTCTCTGTCTCTCTGTCTCTCTGTCTCTCTGTCTCTCTGTCTCTCTGTCTCTCTGTCTCTCTGTCTCTCTGTCTATCTGTCTCTCTGTCTCTCTGTCTCTCTGTCTCTCTGTCTCTCTGTCTCTCTGTCTCTCTGTCTCTCTGTCTCTCTGTCTCTCTGTCTCTCTGTCTCTCTGTCTCTCTGTCTCTCTGTCTCTCTGTCTCTCTGTCTCTCTGTCGCTCTGTCTCTCTGTCTCTCTGTCTCTCTGTCTCTCTGTCTCTCTGTCTCTCTGTCTCTCTGTCTCTCTGTCTCTCTGTCTCTCTGTCTCTCTGTCTCTCTGTCTGTCTGTCAGTCTGTCAGTCCGTCTGTCTGTCTGTCCGTCTGTCTGTCTCTCTTTGTCTGTCTCTCTTTGTCTCTCTCTCTCTCTCTCTTTGTCTCTCTTTCCCTCTGTCTGTCTCTCTCTCTCTCTCTCTCTCTCTCTCTCTCTCGCTTTCATGCGATCGCTCACTCTCGATTTCTTTTGCTCTGGCGAAGTGACGATCCCGCAAGAGATTCTGAGCCTAACTAGGAAGGCATGGCTTAAGAATCTCTCTTGGCCCTCTGTCCCCTCGTAAACCTTTGCGAATGTCGCAAATGCCTTGGCATTGTAAAGATTAAAAGAGAACAGACCCTGTCGAGACCCAAGGTGGTGAGGGACTGAACTGCCCTGTGGGCAGCGACCTCCGCATTTACGCAGGCCGGTGGCTTGTTTTTGGCCTGGTCATCGGGAAAGTTATCCATCCAAGCAATTCTCTTCCCGAAAGTGCAGCGATTGAGCTGGGGCCGTATAAATGAACGCACCAATGCTGGTTTGCGAGTAGGGCGAGCACGCTCCAACGCTTTTTAACGACTAAAGCTGAACCACTCCCTGTGAGGCTTCTTGGCTGGACAGGAGCTGATGCCGGAGGACGGGCGTGTTCAGTGTCACTTCCCACATTGCTTCTACGGCCTTACTCGGAGCCGACTGCAAACAACATGAATGCCGAAAGCTATACCGTTTGGGCCCTTGATTCTCTGGGATCGGCTACAGCATGGGAATGTTTCGCAACACCAGCCTCAAGGTGCCTACAGGCTGGGAAGGGATCTTGTTGACCTTTACCAACGGAGGACCAGCGCTTCCCGCTGCTCGAAGAGGGCTACTTCGCCACCGCCCAGGAGCCGACGCAGGCACCGTACTCTCGGAGGATTCTGTTGTGGGGGTTTCCGAAATTTGGGGCACCCCGTTTCTACCCCAAATAGAACAGCATCCCCTTAAAGCACCCCCAAGGAGAGTAGCCCTATTTTCGGAAATTCCCAAAGGGCCTCCAGCTGTTCCAAGCGAGGTGCTCCCGTTCAAAAGCTCCCCCAGCTCACCAGTGAAACTGTCGTGGCAGGTGTACAAGTGCGGCTCTTCCTCTCATTGCCCAGGCCACTCCCTTCGCGCTCGCAGGGATTCAATGTCTTCTGATTTAGGGTTGAGGGTTCATGTTCAGGTTCCTAAGTACGTGAGAGAGAGAGAGTGAGAGAGAGCAAAAAAAAGAGAGAGGGAGTGAGAGGAAGGAAGAGAAGGCTTAGGTTTAGGCCTTCCTGGGCCGGTAGGACACGGTCGGACCAATCCTTGCCTCCAATGGAATGCCAGGGTCCAGGGTCCTGAGGAGGGAATCGTAGGAACGCTTGGGGAGGCTCGGGAACGCTCGAGGAAACTTGGGAACACTTGGGGACGTTCCTGGAAGACTTGGGGCACGGGGCACTGGGGTTGTTTTGGGCACGTGCGTGTTCGCAGCACGCCTTGCCCGAGTCGGGAGCTGGCCGGGGGCGATTCGGGAACGGTCGGAGGCTGAGTCGGGAATGCATCGATCACGCGTGCTGGAAACGACTCCCTAAAGCTGCAACTTGAGCACGCCTTTTCTGTGGAGCTCGACCTTAGACACCCGAGATCCTTCGGGGCCATGTTCGGAGTATAATGAAGGAGCCTTTAGAAGCTGTCAGGGTTTAGGATTTATAGGGCTTGTAGGGGTATAAACACGGGGTCCAAAGTCGGGCGATTAAAGCCCCCGAAAATCCTAAGGTCGAGCTCCCGCAGAAAAGGCGTGTTCAAGTTGAAGCTTTGCGGGGGCGTTTCCAACACGCGTGCTCGATGCATATCTGCCTCGGCCTCCAGCGTTTCCAACACGGGCCTGCCCGTTCCCGACCAGAAGCGCTGCTGTTCCCGACACGCCCTCTGCCTGCTCCATCCTGCTCCCAAACCGACTCAACCGTCATCCTCCAAAGAATCCAAGCCCTAAACGATGTAGCACAAAAATCCGCCTCCCCCCTACTTAATTGCCCCTTCCCCTAAGCTTCACAACACCCCGAAAGCCTCGCGGAGGTGGGTTGCCTGGCACGTGTGCCCCGGGCCGGATCGGCATCCCCTGCGGCCGCTGCCAGGCGGATTCCGAGTCTCCCCATGACTCCCATGACGTCTTCCGAGTATTCTTATAGCACTCTTATAGCAAAAGGCTTTCGCCCAGCGAGGGGAGGCACTAAGCACCTACTTCAAAGCCCAGGTGAATCCACTTACCACTTACGAAGGCACTTCTGGTCTGTGCGAGGCCGGCATGAAGTTTGAGAACGGCGCCTGCACGGAGTGCAAGATGGATACTCGGCCGGAGAATTCCACGAATGCTCTTCGCATGTTTGCATATGTTTGTTTTCTTTGTCGATGCACTCTGCAATGGGGTTCACGCTGGCAAAATCAGGTTCTGTACACAGGTCTTGAAGGACTCATGGGGGGTTTATGGTCGTTTGCAAACCGTTTGCATTCCAGAATCGTTTGAATCCTCGGGTCACATAGAGATGAGGACAGTGTCCCCTTCTTTGTTGGCGCCGTGGTCGCGGCCATTGTTATCCCGGTTTTCTACTACTTCATGAACTCACCCGTGACCGCGAAGGCCGGAATCAATGGCTTCCTTCGCGCGTTGTGGGTGCACTTTACTTACCCAATCTGACGAGTTCTGAGTGGGGAGGGAATGCGAGGACTCGGGTCCCCATCCATTCCCCTGAAAGTGTATTGTGGGGACCTACTTCCCTCATTTATTTCTTTTACAAAGCCAATGCCCAACTGCGTGAGGTCGTCTAACTTGTTTGGGTCACGGTCCTATCATGTCCTATCCATGATTTTTGGCATGGCCTTGTTGATGCAATAAGAGTGCCGACACTCAGATTGGGGTACGCTTTTGTGGGAAGTTGGGCGTTTTGGTGACCAGTCTCTTCGTGTGTGTGTGTGTGTGTGTGTGTGTGTGTGTGTGTGTGTGTGTGTGTGTGTGTGTGTGTGTGTGTGTGTGTGTGTGTCTCTTGGGGTTTTCTGGGGCCAAAAGTAGCCACGTCCGGGCGGAGGCTTCCACAATGCTGAGCACAACCATGGCCTTCGGCATGACCCTGTCCCTCGGCGATGCCATCGGGGGATCCTTTGGAATCCTTCCGAGGGGCCCAAGCCACAAGTTTCCTAACAAGGGCTGGGCTTAGGATGGTTTAGAGCTGGAGTTCAGTTCCCGGGTTCCAGAGGCAAGGTGTCGGGCTGTAGCCCAAAAGGAGCCCCTGAACCTGAAACCCTAAACCGTAAGCGGTGGCAAGCCCTCAAGTTCTCGGGAATTTCTGAAAAGGACTCTGCTGCAGACGATCGGGCTCGTCGGCTTGGTCTCGCTGCGCCCCGGCTTTTTAGGGGGGTGTTGTTGGGGAAGTGTTTGCATGAGGGGGGGGGGGGGGTTGGGGTGCTCTCCCGCCTGAAACGAACCCTGCGACGCGCTAGCGCTACTGCTACTGCTACTGCTTTTCCTACTACTACTACTACTACTGCTACGACTACTACTACTACTACTACTACTACTACTACTACTACTACTACTACTACTACTACTACTACTACTACTACTACTTAGTACTACTACTACTACTACTACTACTACTACTACTACTACTACTACTACTACTACTACTACTACTACTACTACTACTAATACTACTAATAATACTACTACTACTACTACTACTACTACTACTACTACTACTACTACTACTACTACTACTACTACTACTACTACTACTACTACTACTACTACTACTACTTACTACTACTACTACTACTACTACTACTACTACTACTACTACTACTACTACTACTACTACTACTACTACTACTACTACTACTACTACTACTACTACTACTACTACTACTACTACTACTACTACTACTACTACTACTTGGTACTACTACTACTACTACTACTACTACTACTACTACTACTACTACTACTACTACTACTACTACTACTACTACTACTACTACCTTTGCCGATCCATGAAGCTTGCAAAATGAAGCCAGAGTGGCATACGCTTTCCCCCTTGCATGTGCACGCTTCAACATGCAAGCCCATCCAACCTCTGGATCAGGAGCTGGCCATCGTACCTGCAGCCGTTTCTCGACTTTGTGTCTATCTTCATGCTGGCCACGGGCTGAGGGGGGTCCGACTTCTCATCTCCCGTTGCCGTTGAGCCCCTGTTTTTAGGACATTCTGTGAGTCAGATATATTCAGGCCATCCCATCCACCAATAAGAAAGCCCTGCGCCTAATTCTTTCTGCGCCTTCATCCTATACGAAAGCTTGAAATTCCTTAAATCTTAGAAGCCACCGGAAGCCACCCCGGAAGCCAGCAGTTTCCCGGCCCCAGGACCTCGAGTCCCTGAACTTCGACTGCGTGGGTGTGTCCTCGGCCATGCGCTACGTGACCAGCGGCTTGGCTATCGTTCCGTGGGGAGGGCTCGCAGAGCCACTTGCAAAATTTCAACAGCCGCCCGAAACCTGCTGCAACAGAAAGAGTTGCGACACAAAGAGTAGCAACACGGGTGACAGATTGCGACGCGGGGAGGGAGCGGGAGCTTTCGGGCGCTCGAAGTGCAAGAAGGCTTATTGCGCACGACACGTTTTCCCTCTCTGATTCTGGAAAAGAGAGCCATCTGAGCGGGAAGATGCGCTCGAAAGTGCCACAAAAAGAGTAACAAACATTGTAAACATAAACATGAACATGCGAAATGCAAAATCTGAGAAAAATCTGAAAAAAAAGGAGGCATTATATCGATAATGCTAGTCATCATGATAATCATACTATTGCTCCGAATTATAATCATAATCCTAGCCACAAGAATCATCATAACAATAATAATAATAATAGTAATAATAATAATCATAATTATAATAAAAAAATAATAGTACTACTGACAGTCATAGTGAGGCGTGTTGTGCTGGCCGGCGGCCCTGACTTGGCTGGTCATCTGCGGCCTCCTGTCCAAGCCTCCCTGGCAGCAGAGAGGGGTTCTTTTAAGGTTACATCTCCACCCAGGTGGCTTCCGAAATTCAGGGGGTGCCTTCTTGGGGTCCGTGACTTCGTGCTCCCCCCCCAATTTCAGCTCAAGTAGGGTTTCATCATCGGACGCATCATGTTGCTTAAGAACGATGGGGGTTACATCGTCCCATCTCAACCTTGCATTCCCACTTTAGCGGCTAAATCTGAGGGTTGCGGCCCCACAGGCGCAGACATGGTATGGGGGGGCCTTTCCGTCCTTTCCCGGCTGCTTTTGGGGCGGGGCAGGTTCAATGTTTTTTTTGGTTTTTTTCCGCCGCGCTCTCTAAAGGCCGCCACACGTCACGAGACGTCACGCACCCGTAGCCGAGGCTTGGGCCGGCGAAGCTGCACTTCGTGAAGTCCAAGGCCCTCAGCACCCTGGGCCAGCTCTTCCAGCAGCTTGGGGGCAGTTCATGTGGCTCCAACATTCCTTTGTCATAGTTGGGTAACATTTTACATCTTTAAGGGTACTTAAACCCAACAAGGAAAATTGATTTAAGATTTTGATACTATCCCAACCATGAATCAGATTCGTTGCAGCACTGGCAAGACTTGGGCCCAGGGCGGCCTCAGAACTCCCCTGAGAGCCAAAAGCCCCTGCCCTCAGGATCGGCTTCACGATCATCGCCAAGACTGCGCTGATGCCGTGCCTGGGACCACGTGGAGTCACTCGTGGAGTCCGTAGAAACCGCAGTGGAGTCACGCACATCGGCCACAGTAAGGTTCATGTGCTACTCGCATCCCAACGGGCCGCTTTGGCTGAACAGCCCTTCACCGCCTTGACGGCTGTTGCCCGGGGTTCTTGGGAGCGTGCTGGCCAGCGTTCTGGGGAGATTTCTGGAAAAAAGGGTGAGGCTTAGGAGGCTTAGGAGCTTTGGCGGTTCGGTAAGGGGGGGTTTGTCTTGTGAGGCTGGGGGAGTCCAGGCTCTGTTTTTTTTTGACCAAAGAGGAGTTAGAAGCCTTCCTGTAGTGATGCTGCGTGCCCGTTGCACCTCTGCTCAGTTTTTCCGGAGCCCCCTCTTGACCGCAGGAAATCATCCAGCGTCCTCCGATTCAGTGACGTGATGTGCTGGGAGGAACCTGAGTTCGGCTTGACGTTCCCTCTCTGGAGGGCTTGAAAAGCTTGGGCTCCTGCACCTCCTTGCCGCTGGGCAGACTCCGGGACGCTGTGAATAGGAAAGGCTAAATTGATGGAAGAAGTGTCGCTTTGTCAAGTATAGGAGCAAACGGGGCACACCATCATGGTCATCTTTGGCGTGATGATGACTGGGCGCCTTGGACTTGAGATTGCTAGATGCCCAAGCATCGGAAGTTTGGACGGAGCATGGACACCTCGAAGCCAGGATCATGCTTATCTACTGGGCGACCCTGCTGTGGTGCACGGTGCAAGCACCCAAGAGGCGAGGCCGTGGAGCTTGTCGGTATTCAGGGTTTGGGTCGGGAGGTGCGCCTTGTTTGTCTTTGTCTTTGGTTGAGATGTTTGCTTCCTTGAAAGTGTAAGGCCTGTGTGCGGCTCGGCCAGAAGGGGGGTTTGGGGTCCGCCGGATTCAGTGGGTGTTTCAGCATGTGGAAAGTCGGCTCTTGAATGCTCTTGACAGCTCTTGAGTTTAGAGCTTCTGGGCTTGGACTTTGCAGAGTCGAGGGTGTTTGTCAAGCAGGTTGTGAGTCTTTGCGCGTTCCTTGAAAGAACAAAACTCTTCTCAAGCTAACTCATCAACATGCAACGCCTGACCCCCCTTGCAGTTTTTCATGGCATGTCGACTGGTCGAACACCTCGAAAATAGGAAACTTCTACAGACTTTGGAGCCGTCGCGCAGCTCCCACAACATTTCGGAGTCCCGATTTGTGAGCTTAGCCGCTGGACACTTGAAGGCTCATGGAAGGTCTTGGGGTCAGAATGAAGTGTGTTATGCGGGCGAAAACCGCTTCAGAGTTCAGGGTCGAAGTCGACCCCTTCCAATCTTGAACCGACCCCTCCATGCCCAACCCAGATCACATGGCAAGGTCGGCAAAAGCAGACTTCTTCTTCTTGCAAGCCACGCGTTTCTTGTTCTTCCGCTTCAGGACGGGGAGCCAAAGTAACGGCATCCGGTCAAGCTGCACCCCAGCTGAGAGGATCCGAGAGGGTGGAAGACATGGAAGAGTTGATCTGCTGGGCTGCTTGCGTAACAGGACCGACTATTGGTGGTACGGAACCTGGTTCATCCTACGAGGCTCCCTGGACGTCGACATGCTGGCTTGGTCCCAATAAAACAGGACACCAACTCCCACAAGATATGCAATATTCTCAATAGATGCTCTGCTAGAAACGGACTATATGCTATGTCACAATGCACCTTAGAGCAAGTCATTTCTTTTCTAAAGAGTATATACGGCAGGTTGCAGTGTACATATGCTAGACACTATGGCATGTATTGTCCACATATTCTCTACCATGTATTTATATATTGAAACGATAAAGGGTGCCATGCCGAGTGTCTCCGGGCGAGAACCCGCAAGCCTGTTGCAACAAGGGGTGCCTCGCAAAGTAAAGCTATGGTTGCTAGGACGGGACCGGCCACAAGACAATAGAAGCAAACCAACAGAATTTGGGAGCTTCAGGTATGAGGCATATGAGGCGCCCTTGGCGGCTCGGTTGGTTGACAGCAGCTCAGGGGCCTCTGCCTTGCACCAGGTCCTCTCCTCTCCTTGCCGGTGGTGATCTTTACGGACTTGCCTCAGGCTCCTAGTCCCGAAGCCGAGCCTCATGGGCACCCTGCTTGGTCACTGCTTGGTGATGTCTCACTCTGCCAGGTTCAGCTCTTCATCATGACGGCCGTGTTGGCTGCTTCGCCATGTATGGAAGGGGCCGGAAGTGTGGGCAAAGCCTCCGAGTGGCCCAAGACGCCCCCAATTCTTGATGCCTGATTCAGGCGCCCTCAGCCCCCGCTCCAGGAAACCTACATGGTAGTGCAGCTCATGACGTGGCCGTGGAAGACGCCCCTCATCAACCTGGCGGATGGTGCCATGAGCATGATGCAGCGGGCTCAGGGGCCCGCCAAAACCCTCAACAGAGCTTCTACTCTCCTCTGAGTTCCCACAAGAATCCTTGAGTTCAGGATGATCCTGCTGCTCTCCATCGGGGCCGCCTTTCTGGACGGGCGGATTTCGAAGTGAACAGTCAGGCCAAGAGACCCAATAAAGCCCTATGCCCTCTCAAACCTAGAAGCCCTCTCGTTCCTGGTGCGGTTACCAAGTGTTGGCTTGAGTACACTGCACCCCCCCCGTGGGGACGTCTGAATCGCCCCCTGCCCGTCCTGCCCTGCTTGGCCCGCCTTTGCCTGTCTTTTGGGGTTTGGGCTTTGAAGATTTCCGGTGCAGGGAAACTTGGTCTCCAACGAGGCCAGATGCGAAAAGTGCTTGCTCGCGCTGAGGCCCCCTTCTACACTCCCCCGAGCCGCTGCGAGACCTGCGCAGTCCAACCCTCGTGTCTTGTGCGTGTTTTGAAAGACCTTTCTCGTGCATCTTTTTGCTGCCGGGGCTGCTCCAGCGAACCACCTCCCCTTGCAATCCCTCATCCGTTGCCCAGAGGCTCCGATGGTGCTCGGATTTCGTGTGGCCCCCCCCCCCCTTTTTGTTTTTGCATGAAGGACGCGCTGGAGGGCGGGGTGAAGGCCACCTACGCGGCCTTAGCAGTGGGAGCCGCGCGTCGTGCACAATGTGGGCTTTTGGGGGGGGGGCTTTTTGGGGCCCCGTGTGACTCGCATCCCAGAGAACCAAACTGAGGTCCTCGGCATCCTCTACGGCATCGCCTTCGTCTTGCTGCAGCTCGGCCCGGCTGAGGGTTTTGAGGGCTTTTGGAGGCTTTACCCTGTTTCTTCAAACTCGACACGCAAAGCCCGAAAAACCGATAGCTGGCCCACAATCCGAGAAGTTCGTCGCGGCAAAAAACAGCACACACCTTACAGTAAGCTTGCAAAAAACGAATCCCGAAATGAAGCCCGGTGAGTCCCCCCAGGAGCTTGGTGGTGGTGGCCTTGGTCCACACCACGGCCATGGGCTCTGCCAGCGAGCTCTCGATTCTGATCCCTGGACTTTTTCGGACAACTCTTCAGCGATCACATCACAAAGAGCATGACTTTGCTTTGCTGCAGGGCTCAGGTTTCGTAGAGGACGCTTCGGTGAGGGGGCCCTGAAGACGAGCCTCCAAGACTGTAAGGGCCCTTGAAGACCCCACAGAACTCTGCCCAGGACGCTTGGACGTCCTCCCAGCAACTCCATGCTGCGAGAGGTGTGGTTTAGTGTTCGCTTGCCCCAAAGAAGCCCCTGAACCCTAGACCCGAAGAAAAAGAACCTAAATCCTAAACCCTGAACCCCCTGTGGGAATCCTGCAAGCGCTTAGATGACAGACCTTCGATCAGAGTCCTTGCCTGCGAGGGCGAGAAATGTGTGTGTGTGTGTGTGTGTGAGAGCCGAAACCCCCAAACTCAGCTCGGGTTCCTCGGGGCTCCTCTCGGGAATCCTGAAAGGCGCTGGATGCGCTGCATGCGACCTACGAGGTGGGGGGGGGGAACATGGGGGAACATTGGGGAACCTTGGGGAACATTGGGGAACATTGGGGAGCATTGGGGAACATTGGGGAACATTGGGGAACATGCAGTCGGTTTAGGGTTGAGGGTTTGGGGTTTCGCCCAGGTGTCTGACTCTGAGCTCATCTCGAAAGCCATCGAGGAGGGATTTGGCGACCATCTTTGTACCTTGATGTGCCCATGTCGTGGGCCCGATTTGCGATTGCAGACTGTTGTTCGATGGTTTCGAAGACTGGCGCAGCTTCGAGCGGCCTTAATCTCACAGTTGCAGGAGCTCAATGTTTACGACAGGCGCCGACCTCAGCGAATCTTCGTGTCACTCGCCCAGAGAATCCCCCCAAACGGCTCCGTTTGGCTCATGAAGCCCCTTCCCCCACCCCCCCTCCCCCTCGGTCCCACAACCGAAGGGCCCGAAGAGCTAGAATGTGCGGCCTGCATGGCCTGCTCAGGCGGATGCTCGCAGCGGTCCTGACCAGCTTCGGCCCATACCTTGCGTCACTCGGCCTTGGGGCAGAAAGGGGTTTCTAGCGCGCCGAGCGAGGTGTACGGAATCCCTTTGACAAGGGACGTTGCTGTGAGAAGATATCCCCGTGGCATGGGGGTTAGGGTTGTTTTGCTATCCGATTCGCCATGAATTGCCATGCCGGATTGGCAGCTGACAACCTGGAGAGGGATGCTCGTTTATGCGAGGAATGAGCCGAAGCTTCGAATGATGAGACGCCTGAGCGCAGCTGGACTGCAATTTAAGGCGAGGGTTGAGGGTGTTCCAGGACGGTGCACATTTTTCTTTCCGAGCCCTTCTGCCCTCCGAACTCTTCCCTTGAATCGAGAGAACCTCGTGCTCCCAGAACCGAAGAGCATCACGCATCACTCCCCCTCAAATCCTGAAGCTTTTCGATCCAGTCTCCACGTGAGACTTGAAACAAGCATCGCTTGTTGGGTGAAAAAAGGGTGCTGGGCTGCATGGAGAAAAATCAACAGAAAAGGAAGGTGGTCAGGCAAAGTGTAGGTAAAACCATGGCGCTCACTTTCTTTTGCTGAGGTCAGCTCGATGTCCGTCGCATCTTCTTTTCCACCCAGTCCAAAGGACTCCAAGGCTTCCGAAATGCTAAGTACATTCTCATCGTCATCGTATATTTTGTGATTATGTTATGATGTCTTTATGTTGCTGTCGTTACTACAAACTAGTGCGTGGTAGCTTGTTATTGGGTTTATTCGATTGTCTTAAACACTGCATCTTTGCATGTTGGGGCCACAGTGTGGAGGCTCGCAAGCAGCCTGAAAGTTTTTTTGCGGCATGGCCCTGAAGGTCGAGTTGTTCAGGAGCAGCAACGAGCAAGACAAGGAGAGGGACCACAAGGTTAAGGGTTTAGGGGAGCCAAGGGTATTAGGGTATTCGGGTATTCGGGTATTAGGGTATGAGGGTACGGGGGTTTAGGGTCGCTCGGTTCCATCCCAAATTGCGATCTTGTACCAGGGTTCCCGCTCAGCCGGTGGAAGCCTAAACCCTCTAGCAGCCGGAAGACGCGTCGATGTCACCGTCTCGGACAGGCCGATCAGGAGGAGAAATCTTCGAGCACAGGAGGTGGAGAGAACGAAGCACGTCTTGCAGAGCCTCGGTGCAGTTTGGCCATATATTCAGTGGATGACTATCCAGCCCGTCTGGAACTGAACATATTTGTCCTTCCGAGGAGAATCTGCACAACAACTTTGTCAACGCCAGCACCTTCCGCCATGAGAAGCTGCAATCTGCGGAGATTTAGCAAGAAGCCAGGAAGGCTCCGAGATCAGCATCCTGTTGCTTACCTAGGTTTGGTCTCTGGCCATCTCCCTCCCTGCTTCTTTCAGGAGCACATCCGTCGGCGGCATGGAGTGCCTAGCATGACGTTTGGAAGCTCCTGGGGTGCCAGCAGGCTCTTAACCAGAGTTTTGCGTGTTTATTCCGGCGCCCTGCGTCGGATCGAGGCCACAGGCTTCATTGATGCCCTTCAAGAGGGCCTCAGGAGGGTGTGGCACCCATGAAAGATAGTGAGCTCCGACCTTCATTTTCCCACGCATCAGGCCGTGTGTCACGCCATTCTCTTCTCTGCGACCTTACTGGCATCCTGTTCCTTTGGGTATGCTGTTTCTTCATTGCTTGCACTCTATTACATAATTATTAGTATTATATTATTATTACTATTATTATTATTATGATTATTATGATTATTATTATTATAGTTATCATTACTACTACTACTACTACTACTACTACTACTACTACTACTACTACTACTACTACTACTACTACTACTACTACTACTACTACTACTACTACTACTACTACTACTACTACTACTACTACTACTACTACTACTACTACTACTACTACTACTACTACTACTACTACTACTACTACTACTACTACTACTACTACTACTACTACTACTACTACTACTACTACTACTACGACGACTACTACTACTACGACGACGACTACTACTACTACTACTACTACTACTACTACTACTACTACTACTACTACTACTACTACTACTACGACTGCGACTGCGACTGCGACTACGACTACGACTACGACTACGACTACTACGACGACGACTACTACTACAACTGCTACTACTACTACTACTACTACTACTACTACTACTACGACTACTACTACGACTGCTACTACTCCTATTATGATGATTATTACTATGATGATTATTGGCATGATCCGGTTGAAGGTGGAGCCCAGGCCCTGCGCCGACAGATGTTGGCAAGTGGTGAGCAAGGCTTTCGTCTAAGCCTCTTTGGCCCGATTTCCAGAGCCCCAAGCACATCAAAGCCTGGCGTTCTGAAAGGCATCCTAAATTAGGATTACTAGGGCATGGAAATATTGCCGGAAGCCGGAATGCTCCGGAAATCGCCTCAGCAACCAATGCCAAGGTCAGAATTTCGGTACTTGCCAAAGGCCGCAGTTCGGTAGAACAAAAAGTCGACTCCTTGGGCCCCCGGTGAACTGGGGAACCTGGGAAAGTGTTGAGCATCTTGGTGAGGACTCTTCGTGAAGAGTTGCAGCATTGCATTAACCGCTGCGTCTTGGCCCTTGTCGACATCTGGCCTGGGCGAGAACATGAGAGCATGCGAGAACTGAGAAGACCCAAAGCCGAAAAACTGAAGCATGTTGCTTGTTAGCTTGGCGGGATGGCATAACTCCCGCCTGGCCCACTCCTCAGCAGATCCCTCGTAGTTATCTTCAAACTCCAGAATCAGAAGGTAGTAATAGGAACACGGTGGTAGTTCTGACATGGTCTGGTGGCTCGGCGATGAGCGTGCCCGGCGTGTTTCAACTCCGGGAACCCTGCATGTTCCTTTGCGGCCGCAGTTTTGACCTCTTGCAAATCTCGGGTTTAAGGTTTAGGGTCTAGGGTTTGGGGTTTAAGCCTCACGTTTTGTTGTTTTCTCCTCATCCCGAACCCTAAACACCCCGAGCCAGGTCGTTGTGTGTGTGTGTGTGTGTGTGTGTGTGTGTGTGTGTGTGTGTGTGTGTGTGTGTGTGTGTGTGTGCGTGAGAATGCAAGTGCACAAGTGCACCAGGAGTCGTTGGGGTTCGGGATCGCAATGATTTGCCCCTTGAAGACCAAATGGGCCCCCAAGTTGGGATCAGGCACAACATGCTACGACGAAAACCCCCATGAAGGACCAGAAACCCTTTTAGGGCCCCCTTGGGTCCCCAAGGGTCATGTCAATTTGTAGAAGTCTTAGGCTTTCAAGCACTGCCCCCGAGCTCTCTGCACGCGACCCGCATGCAGGGAGAAGTGCGAAGTGTTTTATCGCATCTTAAAGTTGTTTCAGGAGATCGATGCGCCAGATCCGGAAGTAACTTCTGACCCAAGCTCAGCCCAAGCCGCACGCAAAGTTTCTCAGCACAATGGTGGCCGCGACTGCCACCCTGTCCGTGGCAGCTCTCCTTGCATGTGTGGGTGCAACCTGCGCATCGGAGAGTTGCCCTGACAGCGCGTCCTTGCTGGCGGTGGGTACCAAGAACACCTCGAACGGAGCCATCAACGGGTTCACATGGGATGGCAAGTGCCACGCGGTGGAGGAAGGAGGCACTCTACGGGAGAACAACCTCATCTTCGACCTTGGTGCGGAAGGAGCGCCCCTCTACTTTGAGCCGCAGACCTATGCAGTCACGGACGGGCAGCCAGTTAAGGAGAGCTGCCTCAAGGTATCGGACAATCAGATCACCTTCTATGCTGGAAGGAAAGAGTCGCACTTCGTTGGCAATGTTTTCAACTCGCACCGCGACTGCCACCAGTTAGTGGCCTCTGACGAGTGGACGTTCCCTGGTGTGCAGCGAAGGGAGTGCATGCTCTTTCCGGGAAAGCTGAACTTCGTTTTGGAAGGATATCTGGGTGTGGGATCCTCGAAGGTCCTTCTCCGAATCGCCCAAGGAAGCTTGTTGAATCTTGCCACCAACGATTGGTGGCTGAGTGGTGAGCAGTGCCAAAGAGTCTGCGACCATTCCTGTGAAAGAGAAACCGCCGTGGTTGTGCGCTGTGGTCTCCAGTGTGGCGATTTCTGCTTCGTCTCAGGAGGAGACTATCGTTTCAAGGTCAACCGCCGGCTTGACGGCTCAGCGTGCGATGCTGCTACACTGTGCAGCAGCTAGGGCCGCGGCAAGCTGTCCACCCGAAGGCAACACAAAAGGCGCCTGGAGGGAAAGAGCTCAAAGCACATGCTTGCTTCGTCGGCTTCGCAAGCCACAGCCAGAAGTGCTGTGAGGTGTCAAGGGCTCAGACTTTTCCAGAATTCCGCTTGGGAAAGATGGCTTGATACTCGTCCGGTCATTCGTCAGGTCATTCGTCAGGTCATTCGTCAGGTCATTCAACTTTCGGCGAGCATGTTTCCACGCAAAGATGTTCTCATTTTCATCGCAGCCACCCATTTCCCTGAAGCCATATCGACATGATGGTCGTTCTGGCCAAGAACGCAGACGGGTTGGCCGTAAGGGCGCCGATGAGGAGTGCTGATGCTCAGCTGTGAAGCACACTAAGGTAGCATAGATGATTTGGGGTGTGTAACTTGCAGTTGTGGAGGAATGAGTCGTCAGCACTACCTCGCTTGGCTTGTCCTAAACCCTGGTGCCGTTGATTGATTGCTCCCTCAACCCTAGACGCACTTGTTGTACGCACGCTTATGATGTAATCCATGCGTGTCCTTCGACAGTTATATTGGGAAGAATATTCATGTAGCGTGTGCGCTCTCACTCATTCTATTCGTGCCCACACCCTCACTATCATATTACGCGCTGCTGTGATGTTGTGAGTGTTGCTGGATGGCTATTGGTTTTGCCTTGGCACAGTCATGCTTCGTGTGGCGCGGAGGAGTCCGCAGAAAAATGATGTGCCGCGTTTGAGTGTGTAGTTCGGGTACCTGTGTGTGTCGGGTTGGTGTAAAGGCACAGAAGTACTACAGCCCTGTTACATACACAAGTATATACACATAAATCTAGGTAGAAGTATGAACAATAAGTACACACACATATATAGATATATATATATATAGATATCCACATATTCATTTATATCTACAGAAAACGATTATATAAAATAGTTGTATGCAGATGACAGGCTCCTTGCCCAGCAAGAAGACCATCCTCGGAGTTGTGCGAGCTGCGAGCTCGGAGGAGGAAACGGACCAGAAGGGTCTGGGGGTGCTTTTCACGCCGCTTCGACACGCGCGTCAGGCAGTGTATGAAGAGTTATTCTAGGGTTGAAGGTTAGGTCAGGGTTGAGGGTGCAAGTGGGTTTTGTTCAAGGTTTTGCAAATTTTGGACCTTCTTTGGTACCCTGAAAACCCCCCACAAAAGGGACGGTGATTAACCGCAAACCCTAAACCCTAAACCCTAAACCCTAAACCCTAAACCCTAGACCCTAGACCCTAAACCCTAAACCCTAAACCCTAGACCCTAAACTCTAAGCCCTAAGCCCTAAACCCCAAACCCTAAACCCTAAACCCTAAACCCTACACCGAAGCCTTGCCGGCCTTGTGCGAGTGTGAGAGTAACCCTACACATGATTGCGTTGGTGAGCACTGAGGGCCCGGTCGAGGTGCCCACGAGTGGTGGCCCAGAAGGCGGGGGGAGGAGTTCAGACGTGTTTGCACGGAGCGTGCCCTGTGGCCAGGACCCGGGAATCAGTTCTGGTCGTCCAAGCCCGGTGTGCGGCCACCTACCCCTCTTTGCAGTGCATCGCATGTGCCTGCCGTCATGCACCTGTTAGGTCTGCCATGTGCAGGGGCCTCGGTCACGCGAGTAGCTGGCATCCGGGACGCCGCGTGCGGTTGCAGTGACGGTGCTCTGAGGCAGAAACAGATTCCGTTGACTGCCAGGGCAACATTGTCACGAAGTCCGCTGGCCCAGGCACGCCAACAACGGTTACTCGTGCCATTGCAGAGTCCCTTGCTCCTGTGTGGCATCACCGGGACCCGAAAATAGCTTAACACATTTCGGGCCGAGTTCGGGGTCTGCTTAGAACATTGGAGAAATAGATTCGGTATGTAAGCAAAACCCTAAACCAGCAAGGATACTAAACCTTATGCCGGAAACAGACCCTCTGCCCCCCTTGCCCCAATGATCCGCACTCCCTTGTATCTCCACTACTTTCCAGGATTTGCTTTTCCGATTCCTGTGGAAATAAAGTATGAGGGTCTCATATTACTCGTTCCTGAGCTTAGGAGCTGTTGCTCCAGGGGCATGATTTTCTCGGTCAAAAAACCATTTGGCGATAGGACGCAGGCACCCAGACAAAAAAAGCCGACAAACCCAAGCCTGAGAGGAAGAGAACATTCTGGTCTCGAAATTTCTTGAGTGGAGCCAGCCAATTAAAAACCCAGGCATTGTTTGTCCAGGAAAGCCAGTCAAAGCTGGATGTGTTGGTCGGTGGCGAAAATGCTAGGGACAACCACCAACAACCAAAATAACGTGCCTGGACCAAAAGATTCTCTCGCGAGAAGTGTCGAGTTTGTCCCCTTCGCTCCCTTCCTCCCCTTCCCTTCCTTCCTCCCCCTCCCTTCCTCCCCACCTCCTTCCCTCACTGCGTCCGCGCCTTGCGGATCATTGGAGGGGGGGGGGTGCGCATCTATGTATGTTCATTGAACGAGAGGTTCCGAGGGTGGTTCGGCCAATTCATGGCAAATGAAGTGCCACAACAGGGCTTATAGCGCCCTAAACCCAAAACCCAAAACCCTAAACCCTAAACCCTAAAATCGTGACCCCAAAAGCTATGAGAGGGGACCTTGCAGCGCGAGCTTCGCAGGCCATGGAGGCGCAATTCGACGCTCGGCCGCGGCCGTGGCCTCTGAGCCCCGCACGCTGCAGCCTGCCCAGAGACTCCAAAACTGCTGAATTAAGGGAATATGCCTTGAATCATGCTAGGGTTCCTATTATGATTTAAGGGCTATTCCTTAATTAAGGGTTTTTGGAGTCTCTGTGCTGCGTAGGATGGGGAGTTGAGGGATCGCGGCTGCGTTCTCCCGCGGGAGTTCAGCCAGGTCCGACCGTGGAGCGGGTCAGGCAGGCACCGAAAAAGCGAGAGTTGGATGAGTCGTGTGAGTCATAGGAATCATGTGTGTCGGCGGCTCAGACATCTCTGAGAAGGTGCGGCAGCGGATGCCGCACTCCCAGCCGCCCAACGGGGCTTCTTTGTCGACTCGGAGCTCTGCGGATTCCGAGAAACACAATTCTGCAAGAACAGAATAAGACAGAGTGCCACAGAACACAATGGTCTGTGTCACATAACATAGCACTCATCCAATACTCTCCCTGTTGGCACGCTTGGGATGCACTCCGCTTGCTGAAGCTGCCTGCTCCAGGTCTGGTGCGCAACAGCTCGGTTCCAAGGCATGTCACGTCGCAGCCGGAGAAGAGAACCCCCAAAAACCCCAAACCCAGTGTGAGAGTCGAAACCCCAAACCTTAAAGCCCAACCCCTCAACCCTAAACGCTAAACGCAGTGTGTGAGAGTGCTGGGTGGGAAAAAAAAGGCCCCCAAAAAAGCTCCGTGCATGGGGGGCTTCCATGCCTTGCACGGGTTCGTGGAGACAAGATCTGGTGCCGAGGATCATGGCGTGGGCTCGGCGCTCGGGTTACATGCGCTGCTGATGTGCTCCTGAATAGTATAGAAATGTAGTCATGTTATATAGCAATATTGTAATATGGAAGTGTGTTATGAAGTTATGCAGCAGCAGAGTAATCTAGCAATGTTCTACAGCATATAGTACGAAACTGGAAACGGCGCACGTTTGTGTGGGGAGTCTGCGGAGGGTTTTGCTTCCTAAGGTCGAGCGTGAGCTGCAGGTGTTGGGCCAACATGGTCCGGTGGGTGACACAGCTCGGGCAAGAACGCAGCGCCACAACCCTGCTTGTGAAATGTACAGTACTTTGCAGACTCCCGGAGGGGAGCGCGTGTCACTAGGTTTCACTGATCTCTCGTGAGACTAGTGCTGGATGTCGTGGACATGTGGACCTCAGCACAGTGTCCCCCTATTTTTTTGCCGCAGCGGAACCCAGGTGCCCCAGCAAGACCGCGTGCGGGTCTTCAAGGAAGCTTTCAGTGCAGCCCTCAAGCGTTGGGATTCTAAGTACGATTGTATACGTATACGGTGATCATGGCATTGTTAGTTGATATGTTGCCATATTACTATGCATTTGTATCGTTACATTGCAGCAGTATGATATTGAAATATTTATGGTAACATAAAATATCGTTGTAAGTATTTCTTGCTATTGTATCTTTTTCAAGTATACCGAACGGGCACGTGATTACATCATTATACACCTATCAATCATTCCGTCATACTTGTACCAAACCCCTAAACCCTAAAGCTGCACCAGCAAAAACCCTAAACCCTAAACCCAAAATCCAAAGCCTAAACCCTAAACCCTAAACCCTAAATCCTAAACCCTAAATCCCAAACCCTAAACCCTAAACCCTAAACCCTAATCGTTTCAGGGCTTAAGTCGCTGTCCATCCTTGAGCCCTGCGCAGCAGTCGCATACCCGAAGCCCGCCTTGAAAGACCCTTCTTCAGCCGCACCATTTCTGAACCCTTACATGTTAAAGCCCCTTTGTAAAGTCCCAAACTCCCAAGCTCCCAAACTCCGAAGCTCCTGAAAAAAGCATGCCCTGATGCGAAACCCCCCCTAAACCCGACATCCTGTCAGATGCTTCGCGGGCCCACGAACACAGCTTCGCAAGAACCAGCTCCATAAACCACGGTGTGTTTTTGGGTTATTCGACAATGGGGGTCAGGTTTTTTGGGCTCCTAAAGTAAGATTTTTTCATTACAATCATTCGTGCCATTGCTGAATTTTGGTTAATCTTTTTGAACAGGAACAGCCTAACACTTCAAGAATGTTTTAGTATCTAAGCTTATCCGATGATGATGGTCCTACAGTATTGGTGTCATCAATCATATGATTCCAACCCACTAGTGTATTTCATTATTTTCAATGACTTGGAACATCACTAAGTAGATAAGTTTCAGCAGACAAATTCAAGTAGTCAGATATGTAACGATGCAACGGCACAGAGAGGGAGAGAGAGAGAGAGAGAGAGAGAGAGAGGGGGGCTTGCCCCTAACATCCCCTAACTGTTCAGTTTAGGGTTGAGGGTTGAGGGTTTAGGGTTTAGGGTTTAGTGTATTAGTATCCAGTTCGTTATTGGCTTTCCAATCATGTCAAGAGTTGTGCCAAGGCCGCGCTGTAGAGCTGTTGCCGGACTATCGGCCGTCAGCCCGCGGCATGTGTTTGTGTGATCTGCGGTGGCGTCCGTGATCTTTCCCAATGTTGGAGCCCTATATCTCCCGGTGGGTTTCAGTGGGGCGGCTTAGTTTTCTGGGCTTGAACCCTCCGGGCAGCTGCGATTGGTCGCACAATGGGGTTGTTTCGTTGGAAGCAGGTCGTTGATTTGAATGCGAGGAGTTTAGAAGGTTTCCAGTGCAGTGCGGAGGGTTCTTTAAGCATCTCTGAGTGAAGGGTCCGGCTTACCGCGGAAGCCCGTGAGACTTAGCCCTGGCCTCTTATGCTCTCAGCTTGGCACGCGGCTGGGGCGCCAGGCTTTTCTACTCATACCAACAGGAGCCTGCGCCCCAGCATTGTGCCCACTGCTTCAAGCGTGTTGTGTGCGGCTCTTTGTGGTGTTGCCGATTCGGTGCCTGGAGTTCCGGGTCATCTGGGAGCAGCTGCTGAGAGAGTGCAGCCATGGTCTTCAATCGTATAAGCAGTAGCTCGGGCACATGCCGCCTCCTTTTGCTGAAACCCGCTTGGACCCCCGGCGTCTTGTTGGAGTGGCACGAAGTCTGCGCCCGAAAGGCTGGACGAGTTTGTGAACAAGCTCCAGGCGAGGCCCTGTCCATTGCTATAGAGCCACCCATCACACAATCAGAAGAAGACACTACGATGCCAATCTACCAATATAAGAATATTCGAATACAGTAGTGCAAATTCCGCAGTACAACATCGGCATGGCAGTCGAACCTGCTCACAACGGTGGGAAGGAGCAGCTGCGCGAGTTCTCCACAGCGGAGGGCCGCATTAAGACGGTGAAGGCCTCCCGGGCCTACCCGGATGCCAGGGAGGTTTTTGCAACTAACTTGGGCCTTTTGGGCAGGTCTTGCTCCGCAACTGACCCCTGGCCAATGCTGGCAACCTGCCCCCTATCGCGAACTGGCCGTCGCTGGCTTCTTGTGGCCCAAGCCATTGTATCCATCCTAAACAGCTTGCCATGTGCCATGCAAGTTTGTCGGAAAAGGACCTTGGGTGAAAGGTTGGACACTGCGGCGTAGACTGTCATCACAAGCGGTCTCCTACATCTCTTTCTCGCAAGTCCCAGAGCCAGTCAGCCTTCCCAAAAAAATACTACTTAGAGTCCCCCAGTTTCCCCTAAGTTTAGAGTCTAGAGGAATCCCCTTGAAGGGACTACAAGAGGAAATCCTGGAAAATTCTTTTTGCACACGCACTGCTATCCGCACCCACCAAGTTTTCAGCCATGGTTCTGTCGCCAGGGCCCCGTTGGGTTTCAATGGCCAACAGAGGATTTTCTAGGGAGCCTTTGCTTATGGTTCTTGTTGGGTTACGTGTGATCTTCTCAGTGGAATATTTAGGGCAGTTTCTCCTGCATTTCGCAGCCCACTGGGTCACTTTTGGGGGGCCTTCGGTTCGAGGGTGGTGTTATGGCATCAACTTAACACCTGTGCTGGGACACCAAATAGTAGGATTCCCGTTTTTTAAGGATCCCAATAAGGCCCCTACGTAATCGGACACCCCCCCCCCCCACCCCCATATTGTAGTGGTTGGACTACAGCAAAGTTTGGCAGGGTGGGACCTGCAAAGTATTGTAGGGCGGGGATGGCACGTGCTCTGGTCCGGCTCACCAGGCACCATGACAACATGCTGCAAGATACCTCTCCACCATGGTAGAGGATCCCTCAACCCTAGACCCAAAGCCCCCAAGCAGGCCCTAACTGCTCGACTCCTAGCGTGTGGCATGAATGAAGCCTATTGCAAGATTGGGGGGGGAGGGAAGTCGCGAGAGAGAGTTGCCCGAATGCTGGGAAAAAAGCAGATGGAACCTCATGAATCCGCCTATCTGCTGACTGGGCTGGCTTTGCAGCTGCTCTTGATCCTGCGCCTCCTCTACTTGGGAGTCCCTTGGGAATATTTGGAGTTTAGGGCCTATAGGGTGTTGTGCTTTTGTCGCCATCACGCCTTTTGCGCCATAAAGCCACACGTAGCGAGTTCAGGACCTTTTTCTCGGGCCGTCTTGCCACCGAGGTCTTGCATCGAGGGCGCGTGCCGAGGTTGCTGCTGACCATGCTGCGGGGCATTCGCCAAGAGGTCCAGGCAATCCTGCGCTGCCAGCTCCTCGCCGGCGCCGCACCTCATGCGACTCTTGAGAAGATGGATGCGATGCGCCTGGGCATGGCGCACGCCTACTTCAATGTGCTGGTCTTCGTGGTCGTCTTGCTCATGATGGTGTCCCAGCGTGTGATGTTGCTTGAACTTCCTGGCCTGGTCTCCTCAGTCTTCCGATGGGTTCTCCTATTCCTCTTAGCGGCCTGCACTTTGCACTTCCTGGTGCCTTCACTGCTGTCGACCAAGACGTCGGATCTTTGGTACGTTCTGATCATGACCTCCTGCATCGTCGTTGCCGCCGCGGCGCCCGTGGAGCCGGATGGTTTAGCCTTAAAAAGGGGGCGCGAGATGTTGATCTCGAGTTTGAGCTCTCTGCTAAGGGATGTTCATAGGGTAGGTTATGATCTACATCTGACTTCTGAGAAGTTGCATGTTTTGCCGGCAGCCTCCAAAGTCCGTTGCCCCGAAAAAGGTTATGATCTAATTATGTGGAAAATGTTGGTGTTTGGCAAATGCACTGTTTCGCCACCTCGTGAGGAGTCTTACCTGATCAATGAGACCGTTATCCTTACGGTCATCTGCCGTATCCCCGTTGTTCTCGCGTCGCGCCGGCTTTGGTTGGTATGTTGCGCCAACCTGGCCTACGCGTGCTGCTTCCTGTCTTTGGGTTCAGGGTTAGTTTAGTGGCAGACTCTCGGAGTAGAAGCCATACAGGCCTTCTTACTGTGAAATTGTGAGAATGGTTGCGGTTGTTTGGGCAGGAGAGCGCTGCCTGGCTTTGGCAGATAACATCCCTGTCTTACTAGCTCTTCGTAGGGAATGAGGCGATTTTCGTACTTTCTCTCCTTCCCCCGAATGACACTTGAAGTGACTATCCAAGGGTCCCTATATGCGGCTCCACTGTTCCGTTGAAAGGGCGAAGTACCAGACCCGCTGCCCAGCTTCGTACTTGACGAGGCTCCATGGCCAATGGCCCCACCTACTTTATCGGGATTGAGGCGGGGGGGAGGGTTGGTTTGGTTTGAGGTGGAAGGCCGGGAGTCAGAAGCTCAAGGAGCCGTGGCTGAAGGAAAGCCAATAGGAACTCTGCCAGGGCCTTTTTGGGGGATCCTGCGGAGAAGCCATGGCGAACCCCCCCCTCCTTAGCCGCCCGAGCCGTCTTCGCCTCCCGAGGGGCTCTCGCTGCTGCTCATCGTCGCCTGCTTTCTCTTGCTCCAGTGGATGCTGAAGAAGACGGCGCCCCGATGCAGCATCTTCCGGGCCCAGACTTTTTGCTTTCCTTTTTGGGGGGGCTCTCGGGTAGCACACTGGCAGCACCCTCTGAGGATGCCTTGCTCCTATCAGCTACGACCACGTTTTTCGATGCCTATGAACATGCCCTGAAGTCCTGAAGGTTGCTTCCACTGAAAGGTACTTCGGAAGGAAGACGAGGGAAAACGAGGGCAAAAGCACACCCGAAGCTCCCCATGTCTCCAGGCAGAGCAGCACCAAAGAAGCGCCGAGGCCAACTCTCGATCCTCCCTCTTCGGAAATTTCCTCCTGAGCTGTTGCGATCCAAAAATGGGCGAGTTCGAAGCCCTCCTCAGCCCCAAACTCGGACTTGTCTGGTGTCTTGTGTGGTGTCTTGTCTGGTGTCTTATATGGTATTTGTGGGTGTTTGTCTTGCTTCGTGGATTTTGAGATGAGGCAAAAGCTGGCTGGTTCTTAGGAGGGATGAGGGAATGAGGTACCTACTATACTCCCTTCAAAAACAAAACATAGGGGACCCCCGATTCCCCTCATAAGAACCAGCTGGGGAAAAAACAAAGCCGGAAGGCCATGACCGAGCTTCGTGTGGCCACGGCGCTGTTGCCACTTGCCGACGAAAGAGCTCGTAGGTAAATTCCCACCTCAGCTACATTATGTGTTGGCTTGAAAAGTGTCTTTTTGAATAGTTCGTATTCGTGCTGCTACGTCTGCTTGGGCTTCTTTCTCTTTTTGAACACGCTGAGGAATCTCATCTGTGACGCTGTGACGCTTGGCCGCATGGGGTCAGGAGGTGGCCTGATAATTAAGCACAGGTGGTTGGGTTCTGGTCAACTCCCCTTCTTGCAGCTTTAGATTCGGTTCCACTTTTCTCAAAAAAAGGAGCCTCTTGCCCACGAGTTTCTTTGCTACCTTGACCACAACTCAAGCCAGCACCTGGCTTTCCACCTCTCCCAGCATGCTACGGAGTGGAGCAGGGCGGTTTCGGGGGCGGGGGGGCGGTCCCCCAAGGGCGTCACCGAAACGGTCCCCCAAGGGCGTCACCCACAACAAACAAGCGAACTTAGCAGCTCGTTGCAAGGGCCTCCCTTGGGTTGGGAAGGAGACTGGGATTGTCTACTTGTTCCAAACGCCCGAGGCGAAGATTCTTCTGATAGACTGCAAGCACTGTTATTGTAAACGCTGCGCGTGCCCGGCATGTAGGGTGCCGCGGTAGGGAGTTCTGCTGCGCAAAGGGCTCGAAGGTTGGTGGTGGGGCTGCGCGTTCTTGTTATGCAATGACACCGCTTTCGCGAAAGACGGAAGGTTCAGGGATGCAAGAAGGGACCCACCCTTAATCATATTCTCCTATATACCCCTGTAAGCAATCCCGATTGAGTTCGGAGGTTGGAGCTGGATGGCTCCCTGTGCATGAGTCAGCACTCACCAGAGTTGGCCGCGACTTTGCTTGCACTTACGGATCGTTATTTACATGGGGTGACGAGAGCATGGCTTCGGGTGTAGGGTCGCTTCCTTGTCCCGCCGGGCTTCGTCCTGGTTGAGTCGCTGCAGACCAGATGCAGACAGGTTCAAGGGCCTAGGCACTGTCATACGGAATGGTCATCAGTGTGGCCTCATCCTTAGGGTAGCTTGAGAATTGAATTTCTTAGCAGTAGCCCGGCCTTGAGGGGAGGCGACTGCCTGAATCAATTCATGATTCCAGCATGGTCGGGTGGTTAGGGAGTCTGAATCAGGAGTCTTGTTGATTGTCCATTGCAAGTTGCGACAGTAGGCTCAGAGCCGAAAGTCCTGAAGTTCTTGCTTGCTCGGAAAGTTTTTAGTCTTGGGATGTTTCGTTTGGAAGAGGGTGAGCTGATCTTTCCTGTGGCCGCCTCTTGTGACTCTTGTGTTGCCAGTAGGTGCCCCCCCCCAGTGCCCAGAGAGCAGGGCGTCTGTTAGCTACATGATGCTACATGTGGGTGGCCGTCAAAATTATGATCCGTTTGGGGTACCCTAAATATTAGGTGCTGTATTATACTGCAGACTAGGATCCAAAAAGTTTTTTGGACCATGATTCTGACAACCACCCATGTGTGCTCGTCCAGCCTTGTGCCAACAGAGACTCGGGGGCCTCTCCTGCCGCCAGGGAGTCGAAGCCCTAAGAGTTTTGGAGACCTTGGGGGCAGTTGCCAGGCGTACCTGACACGTCCCTACCTTTCTTTAGGGTTCGGATCCCTTCTATCTTGCAGCCGAGGGCAGTCATAGGGTGGCTCCAAAAAAGCAGCCGCGAAACCCCTGAGCCTTGAAGGCTCCCCTAAACAAAAAGCCTGAACCCTCACGACTCGAGGCCATCTTGTTGCGCGACCGGCCTGGCTTCAGCTTCGCAGGGACTCCGTTCCAGGACTTAGCGGCCTGATCTGGGACCAGCCTAAACCCTGCAGTCCCAACCGATGCAGCGCATCGAACGTGTTAGGCAGGTGGCAACAATCCCAAAACCTTACAAGCGTTCCCCTCAAAAGGGGCTCCTCATTTCGGAAGCCGTTGTTGCAATCTACTGTTGTGGCTTAGTCCGAGCATCTGTTAAAGTGGCGGGGGGCACCCCCCACCCCCACCGCAATAAGAAAGGCAGGGCGCCGCAATAAAAAGCCATGGCCATGTATTGATTCTCCATCAAACAAAAACAATAGGAAAGATGTCTAGTGTCACCGATCCAAACTGCAGCTCAGCAAGCAAAACACGAAGCCTGCAGACAGATTTTTGACCCCCCCCCCGAAAATTTTCTTTAAATGTAGTGGTATTTCCCCATACGAAAACCCCCGTAGTGGAAAGCAGTCTTGCAGCCCGATGTTCGACGAACAGAAATTTCTTTAAATGTGGAGGCATGAATTCAACCGATGCTCGGATTAGAATCGGAGCTGTACCTTTTGTGGGGCTTTCCTTATCCTTGTTTTGCGGGGCAGTGTGGTTGTAACAGAGGTCCAAGGGAGCCCTGAAACACCTCTTGAGCCGAGGTAGCCACGCCCTGGGAGGCGGCGGACGCCGTGCAGCAGCTGAATCGCAATATACCACGTGGCTCTCCGCCCCTGGGCAAAAGGGAACTTTCAGGCGCTGTCTGGAGGGGCCTGAGACTACTATTCTTGTTTGAAGTGTTCGTATTGTGATTATTGTTGTGATTAATACATTCATTACTACTCTTAACTGACGACGACGTTGACGACGACATTGACGAGGACGTTGACGACAACGTTGACGACGACGTTGGCGACGACGTTGACAACGACGTTGACGACGACAACCACTACTACGGAAGCGGTAGGTTATACGGACTGAGCCCGCGACATTTACCCCCAAATCCTGTTAAACCGCCGAATCCATATGCTTCGCCCGCTGTGTGAGAGAAGCCCAAAGCTCGAAGATGTCCTAAATTTAGGGTTGAAAGCCATAACCAATCAGGATCGCCCAATCCTTCAGCACCCGGCTTGTGGACAGCTGCCTCGGAGCTGAAATTCTGCTTGGCTGGGATGCGTTTGCACTCTGGGGGGTTAAGGGGAGGGCCTCCTCAAAAAGGAGCTGCGGTGATGAGATGTTTTCCCTTCCCGCGAATCTTGACACCACCCGGCATCCTAGTCTTAAATGCTCCCGGTTTGGTGTTTTGGCCAAAGTGATTGTATACATATCTATATATGTTTACGTATATATGTACATATCTAAGTATAAATACAAAAATAAGTATAAATATAAATACAGATATGGATATAGATATAGATATCCCATATGAATATAAATATAAATATAGATATAAATATAAATATAAGATAGTTACACACACACACACACGCACACGCACACGCACACGCACACGCACGCACGCACACACACACACACAGACACAGACACAGACACAGACACAGACACAGACACAGACACAGACACAGACACAGACACAGACACAGACACAGACACAGACACAGACACAGACACAGACACAGACACAGACACAGACACAGACACAGACACAGACACAGACACAGACACAGACACAGACACAGACACAGACACAGACACAGACACAGACACAGACACAGACACAGACACAGACACAGACACAGACACAGACACAGACACAGACACAGACACAGACACAGACACAGACACAGACACAGACACAGACACAGACACAGACACAGACACAGACACAGACACAGACACAGACACAGACACAGACACAGACACAGACACAGACACAGACACAGACACAGACACAGACACAGACACAGACACAGACACAGACACAGACACAGACACAACAGACACAGACACAACAGACACAGACACAACAGACACAGACACAACAGACACAGACACAACAGACACAGACACAACAGACACAGACACAACAGACACAGACACAACAGACACAGACACAACAGACACAGACACAACAGACACAGACACAACAGACACAGACACAACAGACACAGACACA